TGTGAAACCTCAACGCCAAACTGACCAAACCACATAAGAACGTTAACGTTGTGGCTTCCCATACACATGATGACAAGGCAGAATGATAGTTAGTCAAGCGAGTCGTCGATATCGTTGTACGCCGACACATAGCACCGCTCTCGGTGGTTAAAGATTGCCGATTGAAATCAGTTCTCAAGCAAAAACAATGGGAAATTCTAACAACAAACCGACCGCAATAGATGATGAAAAAATTGAAAAATCTAAGGTCAACGAAACTGTCGTTCGATACAGTACGACCGCCGATGGATTGAACATGAAGTTTGTCTCTCTCGCCAGCCACAAAATGGTTCCATCCAAGTTCGAAGATTGCTTTAAGAAAGACGGAAAGCAGGCTAAACAGTTAGCCATAGAGTATACAGCAGAAAAGGCTCTCTCCATCATCGCAGACGGCAGGAAAGAGCACGACACAAGCGCTCCACGGCCCACAAAAATTGTTTCTGCATTGGGTTCAGAAGAGGAAGTTTATTCAGTTGGTGCTGACTGTGGCATGTTTGCTGCCGTTTTCACTGCCTATTCTCATCACTATAGGCTTAGGACATCGCCAGATGATTGGTGGTTCTGTGTTATCAAGAGGCTTGCCTGTGCTATTGATCAAAACTCGTCGAAAGACTCAGTGCGCAACTTGTTTGTCGATCATGAAGGAAAGAAAACAATCGAAGTAACGGTTCCGGATCCCACCATCTACACCGTGGATTACAACTTTCTGTTCGATCAAATAGCAAAACAATTAAAAGAAAACTTAAAAGTGCCCGAGTTTGTTGATGGAGTCACCGCAGATTTTGGAACCACCTCAGCTGTACAGAAGATCGTCTCGCAGATTACGCTGATGTATTCTGTGAACCAATATTTCGACTGTGGAATAATGACCTCTTGTGGAATACCAGCGGTGGAGATGCTTGGCAGTGAAGAAGACTGGATGAAATTGAGTTCTAAGCTGAAAGTTTTAAGAACACTCTTAGAACCTATAGAGAATGATCTTGGCCTTGAACCAAAATGGTGGGATCTGGTTCAGAAAGTGTTCTGGAATCTGCAAACCACCTATCAGGGACACCCAGATGAAGATTGGTGGAGTCATATTATGAGCTATAAAGAAGCTCATCAGTCGGGTATGTATTGTTCAATCAATTTATACGACTGCAATACAAAAGGCAAAAAAAAAACTACCGAAGGTGTTAAAAGTATCAAAACCACATGAAAAGCTTACATAATGCTAAGGAAGCAAGAATTTACGCTGGCCACGAAACTGGTAGAAAAGTCTTCAGAGAATTGTCCGTAGACTTGCCAAACGCTGATGCGCCTGTAAACGGCTTGTTTTACACAAAAAGGATTGACCGTTTTCATTTTATTGTAGTCTTTTTATCCACAAACGATATATACTATTGGTTCAACTAGGGATTGACAGGTGTTTACCAAAACATATCACAGCTCAGTAAGCTGATCACAAGCAGCAGTTTCTAGAACGTCGAAAAAGTTCTTTAATGGAAATTCATCATTATTTTGGAACAACATTCTTTGTGAAGAGTTCGTATAATCATAGTCAGCGCGAGAAGGCTATCCAAAGCTCTTTTATTTGAGGTTGTAAGTCAGGTTTAATGAAGTCTGTCCTAGTTTACAGTCAACTCTTGCCTTGCATACACCCCGCTACAACGGACCGTCCCGATAATAGGGACAGCAGCGAAATCACCGGCAAAAACAAATTTCAGACTTTTGGCCTCAATAAACTCTCATTATTACGGACTCTCGCTTATGAGGACACTAACTTGAGGTCCCCACAGTGTCCGCAATATGAGGGAGTTGACTGTACTTCGTCTGATCTAGGTAGTACATATTCACAAAATTAAGCAAACAAAAATAATTTACCGATTTTGTTTTGTTTCTCAGGAACTCCCGCTGGCGGTATCAAAGGATGGATCACAGATTTCTTGGAGGGACCACGATATGCAAGGGCACTGTGGGGGCCTGGTGACTTTACAAGTGGCGTAGTGGCCGTTCCTTTCACTATCAAGGACCGGCCTTCTGGTGTCCAGGATACCGCGGCATTGGTGGCAGGAATGCTGGGCTTCACTGTTCATAGGATACCCAGCTGTGATGAGGTGTCTGTACAACCATTCCAAGGATGGTCTCTTATGTTGTCCGATGATTCGCCTTTTTGCAAATTCTGAACAAACCACTGACATTGGCTTTATAAATTAGTTTAGAAATAATACGTAACTGCAAGGAAAGTTAAAATTGTTTCAGTACTGTAAAATAACGCATTTAGAATTTTTTTCATTCAAATGTGGGCTCGATATTTTTTTTAAAAACGTAGCTAGTGAAAATTGCAGCCATTTAAGTGAAAGCCGCGCAGGCCAAAATGCAGGTTTCTTGAGCGCGAAAAAAGCCCCAAAATCACACTACACAGAAAAAAAAGGAAAAGAAAATAGAAAGAAAGCAAAGAGAAATGAAGGTGAAAAACGTAATAGTCCCTGTCTTGGTTTTTTTGTTTTCTGTTGTTGTTTTTGCTTTGTTTTTTGTTTTGTTTTTGTTTTTCTTCATTGCCTATACTTTGGAGATGGTTTTCACAACAGTTGGCCAACAATGATTCGCACTTTTTTGGTGGAAAAGTCAGACTGGAATTCCTAAAATTCGGCCTCTCAAAATCAGTAGTCATTTCACCAAACTGAGGCCAAATCACGAGATTATTTTAATCTGAAAAGCCCGACAGGATAGGAAATATCGAGTGATGAGAAGGGAAAAAGGAAAAGAGAGAAAGAGGAAAACAAAAAATCAGTGTTGCACTCTTTGTTTTTATATTGTCTAATTGGAGGATAGTGTTTCAACGAAAAAATCTGCTTGAGCGAAAAAATTCAGCTGAGAATGCATGCGTAATTTTAACTACTTGCAGGCATCTCCTCTTTCCTTTGAATTGAAAGTTTTGTGGCACATGCTGTTTATGACAAATATACTCAGGTTAAGTAATATTAATATATACAACAATTACTTAATAGCGGCTAGAGCAGTCAAGAAGTAGGGAGAAACACTCGACTACATTGCGAGTTTGCCCGTAAAAATCTTTCATGTTCTAGCCGTTTGCCGCGTGCTTTACAACTTAGTCAACAAACAGAACAGAGAACAGACAGTCAAGGTTTCTTTACTTGTCAAACTTTTCGTATTACTCATTACTTTCCGAATTAACGGGTCATTAAAGTTAGTAATTATCGCGAGAGCTTTTCATAACAGAGATTAAGTCACAGTTCAACTGGGGTATCACAATGCTGGTCGTAAATACAGCTGGTCGCTTACTAAAAAGTGAATTCGCACTGTTTCAAACTTCATCGATCTTATTATTCAATTTCATTTAATTTGTCAAATGTTGGAGAAATTTTCCGGTCTTGAATTCGAAAAGAACATATCTAAATTTAGAAAAAGAAAAAGAGAATTTTTGTGTTTTGTTCACCTACTTCATTAAGCGGGCGCGTGAGGTTAGGAAGTTTCATGTCACAGTCGTGCAAAGACGGCTACGAAATGTACAAAAAAGTGTGATGGACGTGCAAAACAACCTCTTGTTTTTTTTGCCTTTTTTGTAGCCGTCGCAGTCGTTGTTGCTAAAGCTCCCTATTGTTCTTGATCCAGATATTTTACGACCAAGGTAACGTCGGTAACGTGACGTCAGCCTTTGCAAAAAGCGCACTATCTTATGGTATCATTAAGATCCGATATTCAAATTACAGGGGCACCCAACGACAATTTTCGGAAAATATCTGTTCGGAAGACGATTTGAGATCTAGAATTTTCGGAACATTTTTTTCCAAAATTTCTTGCTTGTCTGCCTCTCCTAGGATTTTCGAACATCTAAAAAGGTCACCTACAATTTTCGGGAGCCTTTTTTCTGGCTGAAATTTTCGAAAAGGTAAGTTTTGATCCCTATAATTTTCGAATCACTAGACTTTCAGCTAGGAAATCCGAACAGATGAAAAATTTTTAGGGGATAAAAATATGCCTGTACCTACCGTTTTAATATTAAAATACGTTTAACAATGCTATGTTCAAGTGGTTTTGAACTATATTCTCGTTGGGTGCCCCTGAAACTAAAGTTACGGTATAATTTTCTTTGTTTTTTCTTTATGAATTATGAATACTTGTGCATCCTTATGCAGTCTATTACAGTTTTAATTAAAAACAGCTGACTCTGAGTGTTTTTAATAGCACCTCCCTTTTTTCTCTTCGGTATCACTGACGTGAATGTTTTGAGAAGTTTTCTCATTGTCCGTGGACAGTTTCTTCTCGAGCATTTTTTCAGCTAGGTTGTATAAGACTTCCTTGATGTTGATATTCTCTTCGGCACTTACTTCAAAGAACTGGGCACCGTGCTCTTTGGTCAACTAAAGCAGAAAAGGAAGCAAAGAAAAAAACAGCTATTAAAACTTTTCTCCACATTTTCATTACTATATATTGTGGTAAGTTATTTAGGTTTCTACGAATGGCATCAGCTTATTATCCCAACATCACAACTGACATGGGCACCCACAGGTAAGTACAATAAGGGTTAACAAAGACATGGCAATTTCCAGGCCCCAGTTGCTTTAAAATTTGGATATAGCGCTATCCAGTGGATAAGTATTAAAGGGAAACCAATTGCGTTATCCACTGGTTAGAGATTTAGCCGGTGGATAGCGTTACCCACCTTTTGAACAACTGGGACCAGGACTGGAAAAAGAAACAAGGGGAATGTGCCTGAGATTCAAAAAATGCAGCCAAGAAGTAAATGTGTTGAAACAACTTGATTGCTGGTCCTGTTCTCAACAAGGGCAAACAATGATTATGATGATGATGATGGTATTTACCTGTAACCAGGTTTCACTCTACCCTTTTTTCCTCCAGAAAGCCCAAGATTAGCATTTAGGGGACCACAGATTTGTTGCATCTGATTTGGTGGACTTACTGTGAAGTGTCTTACACTTCAGTGAACTCACCTGCTCCCCGTTTTCCTTGCTGACAATTCTTCTATCTTCCATATGACATTTGCTACCAAGGATCATCTTTTCTACATCTTCATTTGCATGCTAAAATAGAGTGGGGAAAAAGAATTAACCCTTTGAGTCCCAATAGTGACCAACATTAATTTTCTCCTAACAATATCCATAAGTTGCCAAGAGAAAAGGTTATGAGAGTTAATAAAACTGTCACTAAAGAGAAAATGCTTTGATCTGTTATCAAACTCTCCCAACTAATTCTTTAAGGAAATGTATAGAGATCAGTTTGGAGAATTTGTAAGTGGATATCGGGGCTTAAAGGGTTAAAGGGTGATCCTGAAGACTTTCTCTGTCCCATAAAAACAATTGTGTGCTTGAAAGAATAAATAAACTTTGCAACACTTAGGTTTTATTACGTTCGACGTTAGGACAACGCAACTCCCTATGTGGTACTTGGGTATCCTGTGGTACTAAGGGGTGACCTTGTGATGTCGTACGTACGGAGGTATTTGAGTTCGGCGAGGGAATAAAATTTGCAGCTGTTTTCGAACTGGGTTTTATCGCTGAGCTGGCGATTCTGTCCGTCCTTCCTCTGTGTCACTTCATGCTTTTCGAAGCGGCATGTTGAAATTTTTACAAAATAAAGCTTTCTAGGATCTACCTCTCATCTATCAGGATCTGATAATTGACCATACTCGAAGGTGGATAAAGACATTTCTCACATGATTTTGAAATATACAGTTTGAAAGTAAAGATAAGAAAACTAGTCAGGGGCACCCAACGGCAATTTTCGGGAAAATATCTGTTCGGAAGACGATTTGAGAACTAGAATTTTCGGAACATTTGTTGTAACATTTCTTGCTTGCCTGCCTCTCCTAGGATTTTCGAACATCTACAAAATGGTATAATTACCCATCTTAAACGAATATTTACCCTAAAAAAGGCCACCTAGAATTTTCGGGAGCCTTTTCCTGGCTGAAATTTTCGAAAAGGTAAGTTTTGATCCCTATAATTTTCGATCACTAGACTTTCAGCTAGGAAATCCGAACAGATGAAATGTTTTTAGGGGATAAAAATATGCCTATATCTACCGTTTAAATACTAAAATACGTTCAAGAATGCTATGTTAAGTGGTTTTGAACTATATCCTCGTTGGGTGCCCCTGACTAGTGAGGTTGTTATCACCAGAGAGATATTCATAGTGATTGCAAGCTGAGATTCTATAATGTCCCAGCGTCTACAAGCGAAAATTGTACTGCAAGCAAAGCTCCGGGTTACACTCTATTTTAGAAAGATCTTCAAATGCAACCAAACGTCAAGAGCGCCCACAGGACCGGAGCAACTCTGAAAGACGATGGCTCTCACAGAGACCAGTTTTGGTCAAGTCTTATATTTTGTACTTCTGGAGCTGAGAGTTATCAAGAAGAACACTGGAGACCTATGTGGCAGTGTGCGTGTTTCGGTTGAGACGATCTAATTTATATGACAAGACCGTCAAAAGAAGAAAGAATTGAGATCTGTTGTAAAAGAAGTATTTTGAAACTGGAAGAAGACCTAGATTTCATCAGTGATGGCAAGCTACCAAACATTGACGGTGAGCTATATCAAGCTTGAGATGTTTGTGCAATATTGTTAAGTCCTTTGTTATAAAATCGTCTATTGTAGCCTTTATTATTGATTTAACTTAACTCATTTATGTAGCCGTATGCACATAGTACATGAGTCTTCCGACTCACATTTTTAAACGAGTTTACAATTACTAAAGATGATCATGGGATTGTTTATAGTCGATTGACAAAATTCAGGTGGTACGAAAAGATAAAATGCTTAGAAAAACAAGCATTATTGATAACTTTCCCCCATTTTCGCGAAAAAAACGATTAATTTTTCCTGTAGATTCGACTGAGATCATTGTTTGCAAATTGCTCCGCGGAAGTGTCTTAGAGTTTAGTTATATTATTTCTCTCGTATGTTGGGAATAGGAAAATGAAATTTGTGGTATTTCTTGTACTACTTATACAATGGAATAAAACAAAAAAATGAAACGAGAATGAAAACTCTTATGCATTGCCAAGGTTATGAGAGCCTTAACTGTACCTCTTCTATGTTCCGTAGCCACTTTGAAATGTTTTCAAACGTCTTCTCCTGGGTTATATCGTATATAAGTATAATGCCCTGCAAAATTCAAAAACATGTTTTTAAATGATGACTGATGCTGAATTGAAAGGGTATTAAATTAATATGTTTTAAGTAAGTTACGGTGAGACTGATGTTCTTTGTATTCTAACTTCTGAGTTTTGAATGATCCTATAAAGTAATGTGTTTCTTCGAGCAAAAGAAACTGAATATCTCACAAAGTAAATAATTCCACTAACCATCGCTCCTCTATAATATTCCGTTGTTATTTCATCGAAGCGTTCTCGGCCAGCTGTATCCCTACAACAACAATAACACTGCCTTCTTAACACGGGGCAAAGAAGGTTTTCAGAAAAAAAAACTGGACTGAAACATAGGCAGCAAGAAGGACGCTTCGGTGGTGGTGCATGTACTAATTGTCACCAAAGGATGTAATAAGGCTTCCCCGAGGGAAGACGTCGCCTGCAAATCTGAATTATTGTTTATCAATGTATGAACTACGAATTACAGGAAAATAACTATCGGAGTATTTTACCGGCAGCCCAGTAGTAACCTAAACGTTTTGAAAGAACTCCAAAATTCCTCTCAGTAACATCACCACAGACATGATATTAATCAGAGATTTTAATTTAAGTGAATTTGACTGGGCCAGCCGAATCGATCACTAACTGGTGCTCGGAGCAACATACACTACTCTTGCACATATATAATTCAGGACAACTTCTTAGTAGACGAACCTACGAGGGATCAAAACATACTGGACCTTGTTTTAACTACTAACGTTGACTTGTTGATGGACAATGTTGTGGTAGGTGAACCCTTTTCTGATCACAATTCCATGTATCACCTTCACCCTAAAGAGTGCGCCTTACATGTCTGAAAAAAAAGGTGGGAAGAGGCAATTTTGAGGGGTTTTCGAGCCTGTAAGAGTGTTTTATCGGGCTTCTGATGAAAGATCGTAGTTAAACAAACCGTTTCCCAGCTTTTAGGAGTGCGGTTTTGAACGTGTTTGAAGAATTCGCTCGAAACGGATAAAATACACCAGAAATTGTGGCATCTTTCGAAGGATAACATAACTTTAAACAAGACTCACGTCTGAAAACAGTTAACGGAAGCAACGAGCTCGAGAGGGACGTTTTGTTATACTACTACATGAGAAATGTCTGCAATTTGATTGGCTTAGAGCAATGATATTTCCGCTTAATTTGAAATACCTACATGTGAAAATTACAAATCTTTTGTGGGTAGTTTTTCGAACTCCCGATAACTCGAACTTTTTTCGATTTCCCTTGAAGGTTCGAGTTATCGGCAGTCCACCGTAACCACATTACAACATGACAAGAGCGCATTGCGTCACTGTGAAACCTCAACGCCAAACTGACCAAACCACATAAGAACGTTAACGTTGTGGCTTCCCATACACATGATGACAAGGCAGAATGATAGTTAGTCAAGCGAGTCGTCGATATCGTTGTACGCCGACACATAGCACCGCTCTCGGTGGTTAAAGATTGCCGATTGAAATCAGTTCTCAAGCAAAAACAATGGGAAATTCTAACAACAAACCGACCGCAATAGATGATGAAAAAATTGAAAAATCTAAGGTCAACGAAACTGTCGTTCGATACAGTACGACCGCCGATGGATTGAACATGAAGTTTGTCTCTCTCGCCAGCCACAAAATGGTTCCATCCAAGTTCGAAGATTGCTTTAAGAAAGACGGAAAGCAGGCTAAACAGTTAGCCATAGAGTATACAGCAGAAAAGGCTCTCTCCATCATCGCAGACGGCAGGAAAGAGCACGACACAAGCGCTCCACGGCCCACAAAAATTGTTTCTGCATTGGGTTCAGAAGAGGAAGTTTATTCAGTTGGTGCTGACTGTGGCATGTTTGCTGCCGTTTTCACTGCCTATTCTCATCACTATAGGCTTAGGACATCGCCAGATGATTGGTGGTTCTGTGTTATCAAGAGGGTTGCCTGTGCTATTGATCAAAACTCTTCGAAAGCCTCAGTGCGCAACTTGTTTGTCGATCATGAAGGAAAGAAAACAATCGAAGTAGAGGTTGACGATCCCACCATCTACACCGTGGATTACAACTTTCTGTTCGATCAAATAGCAAAACAGTTAAAAGAAAACTTAAAAGTGCCCGAGTTTGTTGATGGAGTCACCGCAGATTTTGGAACCACCTCAGCTGTACAGAAGATCGTTTCGCAGATTACGCTGATGTATTCTGTTAACCAATATTTCGACTTTGGAATGATGACCATGTGTGGAATACCAGCGGTGGAGATGCTTGGCAGTGAAGAAGACTGGATGAAATTGAGTTCTAAGCTGAAAGTTTTAAGAACACTCTTAGAACCTATAGAGAATGATCTTGGCCTTGAACCAAAATGGTGGGATCTGGTTCAGAAAGTGTTCTGGAATCTGCAAACCACCTATCAGGGACACCCAGATGAAGATTGGTGGAGTCATATTATGAGCTATAAAGAAGCTCATCAGTCGGGTATGTACATTGTTTAATCAATTTATACGATTGTAATACAAAAAAGAAAAAAAAAAACTACCGAAGGTGTTAAAAGTATCACAACCACATGAAAAGCTTAGATAATGCTAAGGAAGCAAGAATTTATGCTAGCTACGAAACTGGTAGAAAATTGTCCGTAGACTTGCCAAACGCTGATGGGCTTGTAAACGGCTTGTTTTACACAAAAAGGATTGACCGTTTTCATTTTATTGTAGTCTTTTTATCCACAAACGATATATACTGCTGGTTCAACTAGGGATTAACAGGTGTTTACCAAAACATATCACAGCTCAGTAAGCTGATCACAAGCAGCAGTTTCTAGAACGTCGAAAAGGTTCTTTAATGGAAATTCATCATTATCTTGGAAGAACGTTCTTTATGAAGAGTTCGTATAATCATAGTCAGCGCGAGAAGGCTATCCAAAGCTCTTTTATTTGAGATTGTAAGTCAGGTTTAATGAAGTCTGTCCTAGTTTACAGTCAACTCTTGCCTTGCATACACCCCGCTACAATGGACCGTCCCGATAATAGGGACAGCGGCTAAATCCCGGTAAAAACAAATTTTAGACTTTTGGTTTAAATAAACTCTCATTATTACGGACTCTCGCTTAGAGCGGTTTTCACTTAACTGTCGAAAGTAATTGAGGAATTGGTTTGGTTTTGGTTTTACTACGCCCTTTGGTTGGCTAGTGTATTTACTTTGGTTTTGATTTTACGACAGTCAAGTGAAAACCGCTCTATGAGGACACTAATTTGAGGTCCCCGCAGTGTCCGCAATATGAGGGAGTTGACTGTACTTCGTCTGATTTAGGGAGTACATATTCACGAAATTAAGCAAACAAAAATAATTTACCGATTTTGTTTGTTTCTCAGGAACTCCCGCTGGCGGTATCAAAGGATGGATCACAGATTTCTTAGAGGGACCGCGATATGCAAGGGCACTGTGGGGGCCTGGTGACTTTACAAGTGGCGTAGTGGCCGTTCCTTTCAATATCAAGAACCAGCCTTCTGGTGTCCAGGATACTGCGGCATTGGTGGCAGGAATGCTGGGCTTCACTGTTCATAGGATACCCAACTGTGATGAGGTGTCTGTACAACCATTCCAAGGATGGTCTCTTATGTTTTCCGATGATTCGCCTTTTTGCAAATTCTGAACAAACCACTGACATTGGCTTTATAAATTAGTTTAGAAATAATACGTAACTGCAAGGAAAGTTAAAACTGTTTCAGTACTGTAAAATAACGCATTTAGAATTTTTTTCATTCAAATGTGGGCTCGATATTTTTTTTAAAAACGTAGCAAGTGAAAATTGCAGATATTTAAGTGAAAACCGCGCAGGCCAAAATGCAGGTTTCTTGAGCGCGAAAAAAGCCCCAAAATCACACTACACAGAAGAAAAAGGAAAAGAAAATAGAAAGAAAGCAAAGAAAAACGAAGGTGAAAAACGTAATAGTCCCTGTCTTGGTTTTTTTGTTTTCTGTTGTTGTTTTTGCTTTGTTTTTTTTTGTTTTTGTTTTTTTCATTGCCTATACTTTGGAGACGGTTTGCACAACAGTTGGCCAACAATGATTCGCACTTTTTTGGTGGAAAAGTCAGACTGGAATTCCTAAAATTCGGCCTCTCAAAATCAGTAGCCATTTCACCAAACTGAGGCCAAATCACGAGATTATTTTAATCTGAAAAGCCCGACAGGATAGGAAATATCGAGTGATGAGAAGGGAAAAAGGAAAAGAGAGAAAGAGGAAAACAAAAAATCAGTGTTGCACTCTTTGTTTTTATATTGTCTGCTTTGAGGATAGTGTTTCAACGAAAAAATCTGCTTGAGCGAAAAAATTCAGCTGAGAATGCATGCGTAATTTTAACTACTTGCAGGCATCTCCTCTTTCCTTTGAATTGAAAGTTTTGTGGCACATGCTGTTTATGACAAATACACTCAGGTTAAGTAATATTAATATATACAACAATTACTTAATAGCGGCTAGAGCAGTCAAGAAGTAGGGAGAAACACTCGACTACATTGCGAGTTTGCCCGTAAAAATCTTTCATGCTCTAGCCGTTTCCCGCGTGCTTTACAACTTATTCAACAAACAGAACAGAGAACAGACAGTCAAGGTTTCTTTATTTGTTAAACTTTTCGTATTACTCATTACTTTCCGAATTAACGGGTCATTAAAGTTAGTAATTATCGCGAGAGCTTTTCATAACAGAGGTTAAGTCACAGTTCAACTGGGGTATCACAATGCTGGTCGTAAATACAGCTGGTCGCTTACTAAAAAGTGAATTCGCACTGTTTCAAACTTCATCGATCTTATTATTCAATTTCATTTAATTTATCAAATGTTGGAGAAATTTTCCGGTCTTGAATTCGAATAAAACATATCTAAATTTAGAAAAAGAAAAAGAGAATTTTTGTGTTTTGTTCACCTACTCCATTAAGCGGGCGCGTAAAGTTTGGAAGTTTCATGCTACAGTCGTGCAAAGACGGCTACGAAATGTACAAAAAAGTGTGATGGACGTGCAAAACAACCTCTTGTTTTTTTGCCTTTTTTGTAGCCGTCGCGGTCGTCGTTGCTAAAGCTCCCTATTGTTCTTGATCCAGATATTTTACGACCATGGTAACGTCGGTAAGGTGACGTCAGCCTTTGCAAAAAGCGCATTATCTTATGGTATCATTAAGATCCGATATTCAAACTAACGTTACGGTATGATTTTCTTTGTTTTTTCTTTATGAATTATGAATACTTGTGCATTCTTATGCAGTCTATTACAGTTTTAATTAAAAACAGCTGACTCTGAGTGTTTTTAATAACACCTCCCTTTTTTCTCTTCGGTATCACTGACGCAAATGTTTTGAGAAGATTCTTCATTGTCCGTGGACAGTTTCTTCTCGAGCATTTTTTCAGCTAGGTTGTATAAGGCTTCCTTGATGTTGATATCTCTTCGCTACTTACTTCAAAGAACTGGGCACCGTGCTCTTTAGCCAACTAAAGCAAAAAAGGAAGCAAAGAAAAAAACAGCTATTAAAACTTTTCTCCACATTTTTATTACTATATATTGTGGTACCTTATCTAGGTTTCTACGAATGGCATCAGCTTATTATCCCAACATCACAACTGACATGGGCACCCACAGGTAAGTTCCATAAGGGTTAACAAAGACATGGCAATTTCCAAGCCCCAGTTGCTTTAAAAGTTGGATATAGCGCTATCCAGGAAACCAATTGCGTTATCCACTGGTTAGAGATTTAGCCGGTGGATTGCTTTACCCACCTTTTGAATAACTGGGGCCAGGACTGGAAAAGAAACAAGGGGAATGTGCATGAGATTCATAAAATGCAGCGAAGAAGTAAATGTGTTGAAACAACTTGATTGCTGGTCCTGTTCTCAACAAGGGCAAGCAATGATTATGATGATGATGATGGTATTTACCTGTAACCAGGTTTCACTCTACCCTTTTTTCCTCCAGAAAGCCCAAGATTAGCATTTAGAGGACCACAGATTTGTTGCATCTGATTTGGTGGACTTACTGTGAAGTGTCTTACACTTCAGTGAACTCACCCGCTCCCGTTTTTCCTTGCTGACAATTCTTCTATCTTCCATATGACAATTGCTACCAAGGATCATCTTTTCTACATCTTCATTTGCATGCTAAAATAGAGTGGGGAAAAAGAATTAACCCTTTGAGTCCCAATAGTGACCAACATCAATTTTCTCCTAACAATATCCATATGTTGCGAGGAGAAAAGGTTATGAGAGTTAATAAAACTGTCACTAAAGAGAAAATGCTTTGATCTGTTATCAAACTCTCCCAACTAATTCTTTAAGGAAATGTATAGAGATCAGTTTGGATAATTTGTAAGTGGATATCGGGGCTTAAAGGGTTAAAGGGTGATCCTGAAGACTTTCTCTGTCCCATAAAAACAATTGTGTGCTTGAAAGAATAAATAAAATTTGCAACACTTAGGTTTTATTACGTTCGACGTTAGGACAACGCAACTCCCTATGTGGTACTTGGGTATCCTGTGGTACTAAGGGGTGACCTTGTGATGTCGTACGTACGGAGGTATTTGAGTTCGGCGAGGGAATAAAATTTGCAGCTGTTTTCGAACTGGGTTTTATCGCTGAGCTGGCGATTCTGTCCGTCCTTTCTCTGTGTCACTTCATGCTTTTCGAAGCGGCATGTTGAAATTTTTACAAAATAAAGCTTTCTAGGATCTACCTCTCATCTATCAGGATCTGATAATTGACCATACTCGAAGGTGGATAAAGACATTTCTCACATGATTTTGAAATATACAGTTTGAAAGTAAAGATAAGAAAACTAGTGAGGTTGTTATCACCAGAGAGATATTCATAGTGATTGCAAGCTGAGATTCTATAATGTCCCAGCGTCTACAAGCGAAAATTGTACGGCAAGCAAAGCTCCGGGTTACACTCTATTATAGAAAGATCTTCAAATGCAACCAAACGTCAAGAACGCCCACAGGACCGAAGCAACCCTGAAAGACGATGGCTCTCACAGAGACCAGTTTTGGCCAAGTCTTATATTTTGTACTTTGTGGAGCTGAGAGTTGTCAAGAAGAACACTGGAGACCTATGTGGCAGTGTGCGTGTTTCGGTTGTGACGATCTAATTTATATGACAAGACCGTCAAAAGAAGAAAGAATTGAGATCTGTTGTAAAAGAAGTATTTTGAAGCTGGAAGGAGACCTAGATTTCATCAGTGATGGCAAGCTATCAAACATTGACGGTGAGCTATATCAAGCTTGAGATGTTTGTGCAGTATTGTTAAGTCCTATGTTATAAAATCTACCTATTGTAGCCCTTATTAATTTATTGCTTTAATTACTTAACTCATTTATGTAGCCGTATGCACATAGTACATGAGTCTTCCGACCCACATTTTTAGAGTTTACGATTACTTAAGATGACCATGGGATAGTTAGACGATTGACAAAATTCAGGTGGTACGAAAAGATAAAATGCTTAGAAAAACGAGCATTATTGATAACTTTCCCCCATTTTGGCGAAAAAACGAGTAATTGTTCCTGTAGATTCGGCTGAGATCGTTGTTTGCAAATTGCTCCGCGGAAGTGTCTTTAATTTGATACTCTTTAAGGGAACCCCAAATCAGTTTTCCCCTTTTTTTTCCATCAAATTCTTAGAGTCTAGACATATTATTTCCCTCGTATGTTGGGAATAGGATAATGAAATTTGTGATATTTCTTGTACTACTTACAATGGAATGAAACAAAAAAATGAAACAAGAATGAAAACTCTTATGGATTGCCAAGGTTACGATTGCCAAGGTTATGGATTGCCAAGGTTACGAGAGCCTTAACTGTACCTCTTCTATGTTCCGTAGCCACTTTAAAATGTTTTCAAATGTCTTCTCCTGGGTTATATCGTATACAAGTATAATGCCCTGCAAAATTCAAAACATTTTTTTAAATGGTGACTGATGCTGAATTGAAAGGGTACTAGAGCGGTTTTCACTTGACTGTCGAAAGTAATTGAGGAATTGGTTTGGTTTTGGTTTTACTACGCCCTTTGGTTGGCTAGTGTATTTACTTTGGTTTTGGTTTTACGACAGTCAAGTGAAAACCGCTCTAAATTAATATGTTTTAAGTAAGTTACGGTAAGACTGATGTTCTTTTTATTCTAACTTTTGAGTTTTGAATGATTCTATAGGGTATGGTGTTTCTTGGAACAAAACAAAACTGAATATCTCACAAAATAAATAATTCCACTAACCATCGCTCCTCTATAATATTCCGTTGTTATTTCATCGAAGCGTTCTCGGCCAGCTGTATCCCTACAACAACAACAACACTGCCTTCTCAACACGGGGCAAATAAGATTTTCAGAAAAAAAAAGGACTGAAACATAGGCAGTAAGAAGCACGTTTTGGTGGTGATGTACTAATTGCCACCAAAGGATGTAATAAGGCTTCCCCGAGGGAAGACGTCGCCTGTAAATCTGAATTATTGTTTATCGATGTATGAACTACGAATTACAGGAAAATAACTATCGGAGTATTTTACCGTCCGCCCAATAGTAACCTAAAAGTTTTGCAAGAACACCAAAATTCCTTTCAGTAACATCACCACAGACATGATATTAATCAGAGATTTTAATTTAAATGAATTTGACTGGGCCAACGGAATCGATCACTAACTGGTGCTCGGAGCAACATACACTACTCTTGCACATATATAATTCAGGACAACTTCTTAGTAGACGAACCTACGAGGGATCAAAACATACTGGACCTTGTTTTAACTACTAACGTTGACTTGTTGATGGGCAATGTTGTGGTAGGTGAACCCTTTTCTGATCACAATTCCATGTATCACCTTCACCCTAAAGAGTGCGCCTTACATGTCTGAAAAAAAAGGTGGGAAGAGGCAATTTTGAGGGGTTTTCGAGCCTGTAAGAGTGTTTTATCGGGCTTCTGATGAAAGATCGTAGTTAAACAAACCGTTTCCCAGCTTTTAGGAGTGCGGTTTTGAACGTGTTTGAAGAATTCGCTCGAAACGGATAAAATACACCAGAAATTGTGGCATCTTTCGAAGGATAACATAACTTTAAACAAGACTCACGTCTGAAAACAGTTAAGGGAAGCAACGAGCTCGAGAGGGACGTTTTGTTATACTACTACATGAGAAATGTCTGCAATTTGATTGGCTTAGAGCAATGATATTTCCGCTTAATTTGAAATACCTACATGTGAAAATTACAAATCTTTTGTGGGTAGTTTTTCGAACTCCCGATAACTCGAACTTTTTTCGATTTGCCTTGAAGGTTCGAGTTATCGGCAGTCCACCGTAACCACATCACAACATGACAAGAGCACATTGCGTCAATGTGAAACCTCAACGCCAAACTGACCAAACCACATAAGAACGTTAACGTTGTGGCTTCCCATACACATGATGACAAGGCAGAATGATAGTTAGTCAAGCGAGTCGTCGATATCGTTGTACGCCGACACATAGCACCGCTCTCGGTGGTTAAAGATTGCCGATTGAAATCAGTTCTCAAGCAAAAACAATGGGAAATTCTAACAACAAACCGACCGCGATGGATGATGAAAAAATTGAAAAATCTAAGGCCAACGAAACTGTCGTTCGATACAGTACGACCGTCGATGGATTGAACATGAAGTTTGTCTCTCTCGCCAGCCACAAAATGGTTCCATCCAAGTTCAAAGATTGCTTTAAGAAAGACGGAAAGCAGGCTAAACAGTTAGCCAAAAAGTATGCAGCGAAAAAGGCTTTCTCCATCATCGCAGACGGCAGAAAAGAGCACGAAACAAGCGCTCCGCGGCCCACAAAAATTGTTTCAGCATTGGGTTCAGAAGAGGAAGTTTATTCAGTCGGTGCTGACTGTGGTATGTTTGCAGCCGTTTGTACAGCCTATTCTCATCACTATAGGCTTAGGACATCGCCAGATGATTGGTGGTTCTGTGTTATCAAGAGGGTTGCCTGTGCTATTGATCAAAACTCGTCGAAAGCCTCAGTGCGCAACTTGTTTGTCGATCATGAAGGAAAGAAAACAATCGAAGTAGAGGTTGACGATCCCACCATCTACACCGTGGATTACAACTTTCTGTTCGATCAAATAACAAAACAGTTAAAGGAAAACTTAAAAGTGCCCGAGTTTGTTGATGGAGTCACCGCAGATTTTGGAACCACCTCAGCTGTACAGAAGATCGTCTCGCAGATTACGCTGATGTATTCTGTTAACCAATATTTCGACTGTGGAATGGTGACCATGTGTGGAATACCAGCGGTGGAGATGCTTGGCAGTGAAGAAGACTGGATGAAATTGAGTTCTAAGCTGAAAGTTTTAAGAACACTCTTAGAACCTATAGAGAATGATCTTGGCCTTCGATCAAAATGGTGGGATCTGGTTCAGAAAGTGTTCTGGAATCTGCAAACCACCTATCAGGGACACCCAGATGAAGATTGGTGGAGTCATATTATGAGCTATAAAGAAGCTCATCAGTCGGGTATGTATTGTTCTATCAATTTATACGATTGTAATACAAAAGGCAAAAAAAAACTACCGAAGGTGTTAAAAGTATCAAAACCACATGAAAAGCTTACATAACGCTAAGGAAGCAAGAATTTATGTTGGCTACGAAACTGGTAGAGAATTGTCCGTAGACTTGCCAAACGCTGATGCGCCTGTAAACGGCTTGTTTGACATAAAAAGGATTGACCGTTTTCATTATTGTAGTCTTTTTATGCACAAATGATATATACTACTGGTTCAACTAGGGATTGACAGGTGTTTACCAAAACATATCACAGCTCAGTAAGCTGATCACAAGCAGTAGTTTCTAGAACGTCGAAAAGGTTCTTTAATGGAAATTCATCATTATCTTGGAAGAACGTTCTTTATGAAGACTTCGTATAATCACAGTCAGCGCGAGTAGACCGAGTAGGCTATCCAAAGCTCTTTTATTTGAGATTGTAAGTCAGGTTTAATGAAGTCTGTCCTAGTTTACAGTCAACTCTTGCCTTGCATACACCCCGCTACAACGGACCGTCCCGATAATAGGGACAGCAGCGAAATCCCCGGCAAAAACAAATTTCAGACTTTTGGCCTAAATAAACTCTCATTATTACGGACTCTCGCTTATGAGGACACTAACTTGAGGTCTCCGCAGTGTCCGCAATATGAGGGAGTTGACTGTACTTCGTCTAATCTAGGGAGTACATATTCACGAAATTAAGCAAACAAAAATAATTTACCGACTTTGTTTTGTTTCTCAGGAACTCCCGCTGGCGGTATCAAAGGATGGATCACAGATTTCTTAGAGGGACCGCGATATGTAAGGGCACTGTGGGGGCCTGGTGACTTCACAAGTGGCGTAGTGGCCGTTCCTTTCACTATCAAGGACCGGCGTTCTGGTGTCCAGGATACTGCGGCATTGGTGGCAGGAATGCTGGGCTTCACTGTTCACAGGATACCCAACTGTGATGAGGTGTCTGTACAGCCATTCCAAGGATGGTCTCTGATGTTGTCCGATGATTCGCCTTTTTGCAAATTCTGAACAAACCAGTGACATTGGCTTTATAAATTAGTTAAGAAATAATACGTAACTGCAAGGAAAGTTAAAACTGTTTCAGTACTATAAAATAACGCATTTAGAATTTTTTTCATTCAAATTTGGGCTCGATATTTTTTTTAAAAACGTAGCTAGTGAAAATTGCAGCCATTTAAGTGAAAGCCGCGCAAGCCAAAATGCAGGTTTCTTGATCGCGAAAAAAGCCCCAAAATCACACTATACAGAAAAAAAAATAAAATAAAATAAAAAGAAAGCAAAGAGAAATGAAGGTGAAAAACGTAATAGTCCCTGTCTTAGTTTTTTTGTTTTCTGTTGTTGTTTTTGCTTTGTTTTTTGTTTGTTTGTTTGTTTTTTTTGATTGCCTATACTTTGGAGAAGGTTTTCACCACAGTTGGCCAACAATGATTCGCACTTTTTGGGTGGAAAAGTCAGACTGGAATTCCTAAAATTCGGCCTTTGAAAATCAGTAGTCATTTGACCAAAACTGCGGCCGAATCACGAGATTATTTTAGTCTGAAAAGCCCGACAGGATAGGAAATATCAGGTGATAAGAAGAGAAGAAGTAGAAGAGAGAAAAAGGAAAACAAAAAATCAGTGTGTACTCTTTGTTTTTATATTGTCTACTTTGAGGATAGCGTTATCAACGAAAAAATCTGCTTCAGCGAAAAAATTAAGCTGAGAATGCTTGCGTCATTTAAACTACTTGCAGGCATCTCCTCTTTTTTTTGAAAGGCTCCCCGTTTTCCTTGACATTTCTTACATGATTTTGAAATATACAGTTTGAAAGTAAAGATAAGAAAACTAGTGAGGTTGTTATCACCAGAGAGATATTCATAGTGATTGCAAGCTGAGATTCTATAATGTCCCAGCGTCTACAAGCGAAAATTGTTTGTTTCAACGAAAAAATCTGCTTGAGCGAAAAAATTCAGCTGAGAATGCATGCGTAATTTTAACTACTTGCAGGCATCTCCTCTTTCCTTTGAATTGAAAGTTTTGTGGCACATGCTGTTTATGACAAATACACTCAGGTTAAGTAATATTAATATATACAACAATTACTTAATAGCGGCTAGAGCAGTCAAGAAGTAGGGAGAAACACTCGACTACATTGCGAGTTTGCCCGTAAAAATCTTTCATGCTCTAGCCGTTTCCCGCGTGCTTTACAACTTATTCAACAAACAGAACAGAGAACAGACAGTCAAGGTTTCTTTATTTGTTAAACTTTTCGTATTACTCATTACTTTCCGAATTAACGGGTCATTAAAGTTAGTAATTATCGCGAGAGCTTTTCATAACAGAGGTTAAGTCACAGTTCAACTGGGGTATCACAATGCTGGTCGTAAATACAGCTGGTCGCTTACTAAAAAGTGAATTCGCACTGTTTCAAACTTCATCGATCTTATTATTCAATTTCATTTAATTTATCAAATGTTGGAGAAATTTTCCGGTCTTGAATTCGAATAAAACATATCTAAATTTAGAAAAAGAAAAAGAGAATTTTTGTGTTTTGTTCACCTACTCCATTAAGCGGGCGCGTAAAGTTTGGAAGTTTCATGCTACAGTCGTGCAAAGACGGCTACGAAATGTACAAAAAAGTGTGATGGACGTGCAAAACAACCTCTTGTTTTTTTGCCTTTTTTGTAGCCGTCGCAGTCGTCGTTGCTAAAGCTCCCTATTGTTCTTGATCCAGATATTTTACGACCATGGTAACGTCGGTAAGGTGACGTCAGCCTTTGCAAAAAGCGCATTATCTTATGGTATCATTAAGATCCGATATTCAAACTAACGTTACGGTATGATTTTCTTTGTTTTTTCTTTATGAATTATGAATACTTGTGCATTCTTATGCAGTCTATTACAGTTTTAATTAAAAACAGCTGACTCTGAGTGTTTTTAATAACACCTCCCTTTTTTCTCTTCGGTATCACTGACGCAAATGTTTTGAGAAGATTCTTCATTGTCCGTGGACAGTTTCTTCTCGAGCATTTTTTCAGCTAGGTTGTATAAGGCTTCCTTGATGTTGATATCTCTTCGCTACTTACTTCAAAGAACTGGGCACCGTGCTCTTTAGCCAACTAAAGCAAAAAAGGAAGCAAAGAAAAAAACAGCTATTAAAACTTTTCTCCACATTTTTATTACTATATATTGTGGTACCTTATCTAGGTTTCTACGAATGGCATCAGCTTATTATCCCAACATCACAACTGACATGGGCACCCACAGGTAAGTTCCATAAGGGTTAACAAAGACATGGCAATTTCCAAGCCCCAGTTGCTTTAAAAGTTGGATATAGCGCTATCCAGGAAACCAATTGCGTTATCCACTGGTTAGAGATTTAGCCGGTGGATTGCTTTACCCACCTTTTGAATAACTGGGGCCAGGACTGGAAAAGAAACAAGGGGAATGTGCATGAGATTCATAAAATGCAGCGAAGAAGTAAATGTGTTGAAACAACTTGATTGCTGGTCCTGTTCTCAACAAGGGCAAGCAATGATTATGATGATGATGATGGTATTTACCTGTAACCAGGTTTCACTCTACCCTTTTTTCCTCCAGAAAGCCCAAGATTAGCATTTAGAGGACCACAGATTTGTTGCATCTGATTTGGTGGACTTACTGTGAAGTGTCTTACACTTCAGTGAACTCACCCGCTCCCGTTTTTCCTTGCTGACAATTCTTCTATCTTCCATATGACAATTGCTACCAAGGATCATCTTTTCTACATCTTCATTTGCATGCTAAAATAGAGTGGGGAAAAAGAATTAACCCTTTGAGTCCCAATAGTGACCAACATCAATTTTCTCCTAACAATATCCATATGTTGCGAGGAGAAAAGGTTATGAGAGTTAATAAAACTGTCACTAAAGAGAAAATGCTTTGATCTGTTATCAAACTCTCCCAACTAATTCTTTAAGGAAATGTATAGAGATCAGTTTGGATAATTTGTAAGTGGATATCGGGGCTTAAAGGGTTAAAGGGTGATCCTGAAGACTTTCTCTGTCCCATAAAAACAATTGTGTGCTTGAAAGAATAAATAAAATTTGCAACACTTAGGTTTTATTACGTTCGACGTTAGGACAACGCAACTCCCTATGTGGTACTTGGGTATCCTGTGGTACTAAGGGGTGACCTTGTGATGTCGTACGTACGGAGGTATTTGAGTTCGGCGAGGGAATAAAATTTGCAGCTGTTTTCGAACTGGGTTTTATCGCTGAGCTGGCGATTCTGTCCGTCCTTTCTCTGTGTCACTTCATGCTTTTCGAAGCGGCATGTTGAAATTTTTACAAAATAAAGCTTTCTAGGATCTACCTCTCATCTATCAGGATCTGATAATTGACCATACTCGAAGGTGGATAAAGACATTTCTCACATGATTTTGAAATATACAGTTTGAAAGTAAAGATAAGAAAACTAGTGAGGTTGTTATCACCAGAGAGATATTCATAGTGATTGCAAGCTGAGATTCTATAATGTCCCAGCGTCTACAAGCGAAAATTGTACGGCAAGCAAAGCTCCGGGTTACACTCTATTATAGAAAGATCTTCAAATGCAACCAAACGTCAAGAACGCCCACAGGACCGAAGCAACCCTGAAAGACGATGGCTCTCACAGAGACCAGTTTTGGCCAAGTCTTATATTTTGTACTTTGTGGAGCTGAGAGTTGTCAAGAAGAACACTGGAGACCTATGTGGCAGTGTGCGTGTTTCGGTTGTGACGATCTAATTTATATGACAAGACCGTCAAAAGAAGAAAGAATTGAGATCTGTTGTAAAAGAAGTATTTTGAAGCTGGAAGGAGACCTAGATTTCATCAGTGATGGCAAGCTATCAAACATTGACGGTGAGCTATATCAAGCTTGAGATGTTTGTGCAGTATTGTTAAGTCCTATGTTATAAAATCTACCTATTGTAGCCCTTATTAATTTATTGCTTTAATTACTTAACTCATTTATGTAGCCGTATGCACATAGTACATGAGTCTTCCGACCCACATTTTTAGAGTTTACGATTACTTAAGATGACCATGGGATAGTTAGACGATTGACAAAATTCAGGTGGTACGAAAAGATAAAATGCTTAGAAAAACGAGCATTATTGATAACTTTCCCCCATTTTGGCGAAAAAACGAGTAATTGTTCCTGTAGATTCGGCTGAGATCGTTGTTTGCAAATTGCTCCGCGGAAGTGTCTTTAATTTGATACTCTTTAAGGGAACCCCAAATCAGTTTTCCCCTTTTTTTTCCATCAAATTCTTAGAGTCTAGACATATTATTTCCCTCGTATGTTGGGAATAGGATAATGAAATTTGTGATATTTCTTGTACTACTTACAATGGAATGAAACAAAAAAATGAAACAAGAATGAAAACTCTTATGGATTGCCAAGGTTACGATTGCCAAGGTTATGGATTGCCAAGGTTACGAGAGCCTTAACTGTACCTCTTCTATGTTCCGTAGCCACTTTAAAATGTTTTCAAATGTCTTCTCCTGGGTTATATCGTATACAAGTATAATGCCCTGCAAAATTCAAAACATTTTTTTAAATGGTGACTGATGCTGAATTGAAAGGGTACTAGAGCGGTTTTCACTTGACTGTCGAAAGTAATTGAGGAATTGGTTTGGTTTTGGTTTTACTACGCCCTTTGGTTGGCTAGTGTATTTACTTTGGTTTTGGTTTTACGACAGTCAAGTGAAAACCGCTCTAAATTAATATGTTTTAAGTAAGTTACGGTAAGACTGATGTTCTTTTTATTCTAACTTTTGAGTTTTGAATGATTCTATAGGGTATGGTGTTTCTTGGAACAAAACAAAACTGAATATCTCACAAAATAAATAATTCCACTAACCATCGCTCCTCTATAATATTCCGTTGTTATTTCATCGAAGCGTTCTCGGCCAGCTGTATCCCTACAACAACAACAACACTGCCTTCTCAACACGGGGCAAATAAGATTTTCAGAAAAAAAAAGGACTGAAACATAGGCAGTAAGAAGCACGTTTTGGTGGTGATGTACTAATTGCCACCAAAGGATGTAATAAGGCTTCCCCGAGGGAAGACGTCGCCTGTAAATCTGAATTATTGTTTATCGATGTATGAACTACGAATTACAGGAAAATAACTATCGGAGTATTTTACCGTCCGCCCAATAGTAACCTAAAAGTTTTGCAAGAACACCAAAATTCCTTTCAGTAACATCACCACAGACATGATATTAATCAGAGATTTTAATTTAAATGAATTTGACTGGGCCAACGGAATCGATCACTAACTGGTGCTCGGAGCAACATACACTACTCTTGCACATATATAATTCAGGACAACTTCTTAGTAGACGAACCTACGAGGGATCAAAACATACTGGACCTTGTTTTAACTACTAACGTTGACTTGTTGATGGGCAATGTTGTGGTAGGTGAACCCTTTTCTGATCACAATTCCATGTATCACCTTCACCCTAAAGAGTGCGCCTTACATGTCTGAAAAAAAAGGTGGGAAGAGGCAATTTTGAGGGGTTTTCGAGCCTGTAAGAGTGTTTTATCGGGCTTCTGATGAAAGATCGTAGTTAAACAAACCGTTTCCCAGCTTTTAGGAGTGCGGTTTTGAACGTGTTTGAAGAATTCGCTCGAAACGGATAAAATACACCAGAAATTGTGGCATCTTTCGAAGGATAACATAACTTTAAACAAGACTCACGTCTGAAAACAGTTAAGGGAAGCAACGAGCTCGAGAGGGACGTTTTGTTATACTACTACATGAGAAATGTCTGCAATTTGATTGGCTTAGAGCAATGATATTTCCGCTTAATTTGAAATACCTACATGTGAAAATTACAAATCTTTTGTGGGTAGTTTTTCGAACTCCCGATAACTCGAACTTTTTTCGATTTGCCTTGAAGGTTCGAGTTATCGGCAGTCCACCGTAACCACATCACAACATGACAAGAGCACATTGCGTCAATGTGAAACCTCAACGCCAAACTGACCAAACCACATAAGAACGTTAACGTTGTGGCTTCCCATACACATGATGACAAGGCAGAATGATAGTTAGTCAAGCGAGTCGTCGATATCGTTGTACGCCGACACATAGCACCGCTCTCGGTGGTTAAAGATTGCCGATTGAAATCAGTTCTCAAGCAAAAACAATGGGAAATTCTAACAACAAACCGACCGCGATGGATGATGAAAAAATTGAAAAATCTAAGGCCAACGAAACTGTCGTTCGATACAGTACGACCGTCGATGGATTGAACATGAAGTTTGTCTCTCTCGCCAGCCACAAAATGGTTCCATCCAAGTTCAAAGATTGCTTTAAGAAAGACGGAAAGCAGGCTAAACAGTTAGCCAAAAAGTATGCAGCGAAAAAGGCTTTCTCCATCATCGCAGACGGCAGAAAAGAGCACGAAACAAGCGCTCCGCGGCCCACAAAAATTGTTTCAGCATTGGGTTCAGAAGAGGAAGTTTATTCAGTCGGTGCTGACTGTGGTATGTTTGCAGCCGTTTGTACAGCCTATTCTCATCACTATAGGCTTAGGACATCGCCAGATGATTGGTGGTTCTGTGTTATCAAGAGGGTTGCCTGTGCTATTGATCAAAACTCGTCGAAAGCCTCAGTGCGCAACTTGTTTGTCGATCATGAAGGAAAGAAAACAATCGAAGTAGAGGTTGACGATCCCACCATCTACACCGTGGATTACAACTTTCTGTTCGATCAAATAACAAAACAGTTAAAGGAAAACTTAAAAGTGCCCGAGTTTGTTGATGGAGTCACCGCAGATTTTGGAACCACCTCAGCTGTACAGAAGATCGTCTCGCAGATTACGCTGATGTATTCTGTTAACCAATATTTCGACTGTGGAATGGTGACCATGTGTGGAATACCAGCGGTGGAGATGCTTGGCAGTGAAGAAGACTGGATGAAATTGAGTTCTAAGCTGAAAGTTTTAAGAACACTCTTAGAACCTATAGAGAATGATCTTGGCCTTCGATCAAAATGGTGGGATCTGGTTCAGAAAGTGTTCTGGAATCTGCAAACCACCTATCAGGGACACCCAGATGAAGATTGGTGGAGTCATATTATGAGCTATAAAGAAGCTCATCAGTCGGGTATGTATTGTTCTATCAATTTATACGATTGTAATACAAAAGGCAAAAAAAAACTACCGAAGGTGTTAAAAGTATCAAAACCACATGAAAAGCTTACATAACGCTAAGGAAGCAAGAATTTATGTTGGCTACGAAACTGGTAGAGAATTGTCCGTAGACTTGCCAAACGCTGATGCGCCTGTAAACGGCTTGTTTGACATAAAAAGGATTGACCGTTTTCATTATTGTAGTCTTTTTATGCACAAATGATATATACTACTGGTTCAACTAGGGATTGACAGGTGTTTACCAAAACATATCACAGCTCAGTAAGCTGATCACAAGCAGTAGTTTCTAGAACGTCGAAAAGGTTCTTTAATGGAAATTCATCATTATCTTGGAAGAACGTTCTTTATGAAGACTTCGTATAATCACAGTCAGCGCGAGTAGACCGAGTAGGCTATCCAAAGCTCTTTTATTTGAGATTGTAAGTCAGGTTTAATGAAGTCTGTCCTAGTTTACAGTCAACTCTTGCCTTGCATACACCCCGCTACAACGGACCGTCCCGATAATAGGGACAGCAGCGAAATCCCCGGCAAAAACAAATTTCAGACTTTTGGCCTAAATAAACTCTCATTATTACGGACTCTCGCTTATGAGGACACTAACTTGAGGTCTCCGCAGTGTCCGCAATATGAGGGAGTTGACTGTACTTCGTCTAATCTAGGGAGTACATATTCACGAAATTAAGCAAACAAAAATAATTTACCGACTTTGTTTTGTTTCTCAGGAACTCCCGCTGGCGGTATCAAAGGATGGATCACAGATTTCTTAGAGGGACCGCGATATGTAAGGGCACTGTGGGGGCCTGGTGACTTCACAAGTGGCGTAGTGGCCGTTCCTTTCACTATCAAGGACCGGCGTTCTGGTGTCCAGGATACTGCGGCATTGGTGGCAGGAATGCTGGGCTTCACTGTTCACAGGATACCCAACTGTGATGAGGTGTCTGTACAGCCATTCCAAGGATGGTCTCTGATGTTGTCCGATGATTCGCCTTTTTGCAAATTCTGAACAAACCAGTGACATTGGCTTTATAAATTAGTTAAGAAATAATACGTAACTGCAAGGAAAGTTAAAACTGTTTCAGTACTATAAAATAACGCATTTAGAATTTTTTTCATTCAAATTTGGGCTCGATATTTTTTTTAAAAACGTAGCTAGTGAAAATTGCAGCCATTTAAGTGAAAGCCGCGCAAGCCAAAATGCAGGTTTCTTGATCGCGAAAAAAGCCCCAAAATCACACTATACAGAAAAAAAAATAAAATAAAATAAAAAGAAAGCAAAGAGAAATGAAGGTGAAAAACGTAATAGTCCCTGTCTTAGTTTTTTTGTTTTCTGTTGTTGTTTTTGCTTTGTTTTTTGTTTGTTTGTTTGTTTTTTTTGATTGCCTATACTTTGGAGAAGGTTTTCACCACAGTTGGCCAACAATGATTCGCACTTTTTGGGTGGAAAAGTCAGACTGGAATTCCTAAAATTCGGCCTTTGAAAATCAGTAGTCATTTGACCAAAACTGCGGCCGAATCACGAGATTATTTTAGTCTGAAAAGCCCGACAGGATAGGAAATATCAGGTGATAAGAAGAGAAGAAGTAGAAGAGAGAAAAAGGAAAACAAAAAATCAGTGTGTACTCTTTGTTTTTATATTGTCTACTTTGAGGATAGCGTTATCAACGAAAAAATCTGCTTCAGCGAAAAAATTAAGCTGAGAATGCTTGCGTCATTTAAACTACTTGCAGGCATCTCCTCTTTTTTTTGAAAGGCTCCCCGTTTTCCTTGACATTTCTTACATGATTTTGAAATATACAGTTTGAAAGTAAAGATAAGAAAACTAGTGAGGTTGTTATCACCAGAGAGATATTCATAGTGATTGCAAGCTGAGATTCTATAATGTCCCAGCGTCTACAAGCGAAAATTGTACTGCAAGCAAAGCTCCGGGTTACACTCTATTTTAGAAAGATCTTCAAATGCAACCAAACGTCAAGAGCGCCCACAGGACCGGAGCAACTCTGAAAGACGATGGCTCTCACAGAGACCAGTTTTGGTCAAGTCTTATATTTTGTACTTCTGGAGCTGAGAGTTATCAAGAAGAACACTGGAGACCTATGTGGCAGTGTGCGTGTTTCGGTTGAGACGATCTATTTTATATGACAAGACCGTCAAAAGAAGAAAGAATTGAGATCTGTTGTAAAAGAAGTATTTTGAAACTGGAAGAAGACCTAGATTTCATCAGTGATGGCAAGCTATCAAACATTGACGGTGAGCTATATCAAGCTTGAGATGTTTGTGCAATATTGTTAAGTCCTTTGTTATAAAATCGTCTATTGTAGCCCTTATTATTGATTTAACTTAACTCATTTATGTAGCCGTATGCACATAGTACATGAGTCTTCCGACTCACATTTTTAAACGAGTTTACAATTACTAAAGATGATCATGGGATTGTTTATAGTCGATTGACAAAATTCAGGTGGTACGAAAAGATAAAATGCTTAGAAAAACAAGCATTATTGATAACTTTCCCCCATTTTGGCGAAAAAAACGATTAATTTTTCCTGTAGATTCGACTGAGATCATTGTTTGCAAATTGCTCCGCGGAAGTGTCTTAGAGTTTAGTTATATTATTTCTCTCGTATGTTGGGAACAGGAAAATGAAATTTGTGGTATTTCTTGTACTACTTATACAATGGAATGAAACAAAAAAATGAAACGAGAATGAAAACTCTTATGGATTGCCAAGCAAGGTTATGAGAGCCTTAACTGTACCTCTTCTATGTTCCGTAGCCACTTTGAAATGTTTTCAAACGTCTTCTCCTGGGTTATATCGTATATAAGTATAATGCCCTTCAAAAATCAAAAACATGTTTTTAAATGATGACTGATGCTGAATTGAAAGGGTATTAAAAAAAATATGTTTTAAGTAAGTTACGGTGAGACTGATGTTCTTTTTATTCCAACTTCTGAGTTTTGAATGATTCTATAAAGTAAGGTGTTTCTTGGAGCAAAAGAAACTGAATATCTCACAAAGTAAATAATTCCACTAACCATCGCTCCTCTATAATATTCCGTTGTTATTTCATCGAAGCGTTCTAGGCCAGCTGTATCCCTACAACAACACTACCTTCTCAACACGGGGCAAAGAAGGTTTTCAGAAAAAAAACTGGACTGAAACATAGGCAGCAAGGAGGACGTTTTGGTGGTGGTGTACTACTAATTGCCACCAAAGGATGTAATAAAGCTTCCCCGAGGGAAGACGTCGCCTGTAAATCTGAATTATTGTTTATCGATGTATGAACTACGAATTACAGGAAAATAACTATCGGAGTATTTTACCGGCCGCCCAATAGTAACCAAAAAGTTTTGCAAGAACTCCAAAATTCCTCTCAGTAACATCACCACAGATATGATATTAATCAGAGATTTTAATTTAAATGAATTTGACTGGGCCAACGGAATCGATCACTAACTGGTGCTCGGAGCAACATACACTACTCTCGCACATATATAATTCAGGACAACTTCTTGCATGTAGTGGACGAACCTACGAGGGATCAAAACATACTGGACCTTGTTTTAACTACTAACGTTGACTTGTTGATGGGCAATGTTGTGGTAGGTGAACCCTTTTCTGATCACAATTCCATGTATCACCTTCACCCTAAAGAGTGCGCCTTACATGTCTGAAAAAAAAGGTGGGAAGAGGCAATTTTGAGGGGTTTTCGAGCCTGTAAGAGTGTTTTATCGGGCTTCTGATGAAAGATCGTAGTTAAACAAACCGTTTCCCAGCTTTTAGGAGTGCGGTTTTGAACGTGTTTGAAGAATTCGCTCGAAACGGATAAAATACACCAGAAATTGTGGCATCTTTCGAAGGATAACATAACTTTAAACAAGACTCACGTCTGAAAACAGTTAAGGGAAGCAACGAGCTCGAGAGGGACGTTTTGTTATACTACTACATGAGAAATGTCTGCAATTTGATTGGCTTAGAGCAATGATATTTCCGCTTAATTTGAAATACCTACATGTGAAAATTACAAATCTTTTGTGGGTAGTTTTTCGAACTCCCGATAACTCGAACTTTTTTCGATTTGCCTTGAAGGTTCGAGTTATCGGCAGTCCACCGTAACCACATCACAACATGACAAGAGCACATTGCGTCAATGTGAAACCTCAACGCCAAACTGACCAAACCACATAAGAACGTTAACGTTGTGGCTTCCCATACACATGATGACAAGGCAGAATGATAGTTAGTCAAGCGAGTCGTCGATATCGTTGTACGCCGACACATAGCACCGCTCTCGGTGGTTAAAGATTGCCGATTGAAATCAGTTCTCAAGCAAAAACAATGGGAAATTCTAACAACAAACCGACCGCGATGGATGATGAAAAAATTGAAAAATCTAAGGCCAACGAAACTGTCGTTCGATACAGTACGACCGTCGATGGATTGAACATGAAGTTTGTCTCTCTCGCCAGCCACAAAATGGTTCCATCCAAGTTCAAAGATTGCTTTAAGAAAGACGGAAAGCAGGCTAAACAGTTAGCCAAAAAGTATGCAGCGAAAAAGGCTTTCTCCATCATCGCAGACGGCAGAAAAGAGCACGAAACAAGCGCTCCGCGGCCCACAAAAATTGTTTCAGCATTGGGTTCAGAAGAGGAAGTTTATTCAGTCGGTGCTGACTGTGGTATGTTTGCAGCCGTTTGTACAGCCTATTCTCATCACTATAGGCTTAGGACATCGCCAGATGATTGGTGGTTCTGTGTTATCAAGAGGGTTGCCTGTGCTATTGATCAAAACTCGTCGAAAGCCTCAGTGCGCAACTTGTTTGTCGATCATGAAGGAAAGAAAACAATCGAAGTAGAGGTTGACGATCCCACCATCTACACCGTGGATTACAACTTTCTGTTCGATCAAATAACAAAACAGTTAAAGGAAAACTTAAAAGTGCCCGAGTTTGTTGATGGAGTCACCGCAGATTTTGGAACCACCTCAGCTGTACAGAAGATCGTCTCGCAGATTACGCTGATGTATTCTGTTAACCAATATTTCGACTGTGGAAGAGTGACCATGTGTGGAATACCAGCGGTGGAGATGCTTGGCAGTGAAGAAGACTGGATGAAATTGAGTTCTAAGCTGAAAGTTTTAAGAACACTCTTAGAACCTATAGAGAATGATCTTGGCCTTCGATCAAAATGGTGGGATCTGGTTCAGAAAGTGTTCTGGAATCTGCAAACCACCTATCAGGGACACCCAGATGAAGATTGGTGGAGTCATATTATGAGCTATAAAGAAGCTTATCAGTCGGGTATGTATTGTTCAATCAATTTATACGATTGTAATACAAAAGGCAAAAAAAAAAACTACCGAAGTTGTTAAAAGTATCAAAACCACATGAAAAGCTTACATAACGCTAAGGAAGCAAGAATTTATGCTGGCTACGAAACTGGTAGAGAATTGTCCGTAGACTTGCCAAACGCTGATGCGCCTGTAAACGGCTTGTTTTACACAAAAAGGATTGACCGTTTTCATCATTGTAGTCCTTTTATGCACAAATGATATATAGTACTGGTTCAACTAGGGATTGACAGGTGTTTACCAAAACATATCACAGTCAGCGCGAGTAGGCTATCCAAAGCTCTTTTATTTGAGATTGTAAGTCAGGTTTAATGAAGTCTGTCCTAGTTTACAGTCAACTCTTGCCTTGCATACACCCCGCTACAACGGACCGTCCCGATAATAGGGACAGCAGCGAAATCCCCGGCAAAAACAAATTTCAGACTTTTGGCCTCAATAAACTCTCATTATTACGGACTCTCGCTTATGAGGACACTAACTTGAGGTCCCCACAGTGTCCGCAATATGAGGGAGTTGACTGTACTTCGTCTGATCTAGGTAGTACATATTCACAAAATTAAGCAAGCAAAAATAATTTACCAATTTTGTTTTGTTTCTCAGGAACTCCCGCTGGCGGTATCAAAGGATGGATCACAGATTTCTTGGAGGGACCACGATATGCAAGGGCACTGTGGGGGCCTGGTGACTTTACAAGTGGCGTAGTGGCCGTTCCTTTCACTATCAAGGACCGGCGTTCTGGTGTCCAGGATACTGCGGCATTGGTGGCAGGAATGCTGGGCTTTACTGTTCATAGGATACCCGACTGTGATGAGGTGTCTGTACAACCATTCCAAGGATGGTCTCTTATGTTGTCCGACGACTCGCCTTTTTGCAAATTCTGAACAAACTACTGACATTGGCTTTATAAATTAGTTTAGAAATAATACTTAACTGCAAGGAAAGTTAAAACTGTTTCAGTACTATAAAATAACGCATTTAGAATTTTTTTTCATTCAAATGTGGGCTCGATATTTTTTTTAGAAACGTAGCTAGTGAAAATAGCAGCCATTTAAGTGAAAGCTGCGCGAGCCAAAATGCACGTTTCTTGAGCGCGAAAAAAGCCCTAAAATCACACTACACAGAAAAAAAAGGAAAAGAAAATAGATAGAAAGCAAAGAGAAACGAAGGTGAAAAACGTTATAGTCCCTGTCTTGGTTTTTTGGTTTTCTGTTTTTGTTTTTGCTTTGTTTTTTTCTTTGTTTGTTTTTTCATTGCCGATACTTTGGAGACAGTTTTCGCCACAGTTGCCCAACAATGATTCGCACTTTTTTGGTGGAAAAGTCAGACTGGAATTCCTAAAATTCGGCCTTTGAAAATCAGTAGTCATTTGACCAAACTGAGGCCAAATCACGAGATTATTTTAGGCCGAAAAGCCCGACAGGATAGGAAATATCGAGTGATGAGAAGAGAAGAAGCAGAAGAGAGAAAAAGGAAAACAAAAAATCAGTGTTGCACTCTTTGTTTTTATATTGTCTACTTTGAGGATAGTGTTATCAAAGAAAAAATCTGCTTGAGCGAAAAAATTTAAACTACTTGCAGGCATCTCCTCTTTCCATTGAAAACTTTTGAAAGTTTTTGTGGCACGTGCTGTTTATGACAAGTACACTCAGCTTAAATAATATTAATATTTACAACAATTAGTTAATAGCGGCTAGAGCAGTCAAGAAGTAGGGAGAAACACTCGACTACATTAAGTTGCGAGTTTGCCCGTACAATTCTTTCATGCTCTAGCCGTTTCCTGCGTGCTTTGCAACTTAATCAACAAACAGAACAGAGCACAGACAGTCAAGGTTTCTTTATTTGTTAAACTTTTCGTATTACTCATTGCTTTCCGAATTAACGGGTCATTAAAGTTAGTAATTATCGCGAGAGCTTTTCATAACAGAGATTAAGTCACAGTTCAACTGGGGTATCACAATGCTGGTCGTAAATACAGCTGGTCGCTTACTAAAAACTGAATTCGCACTGTTTCAAACTTCATCGATCTTATTATTCAATTTCATTTAATTTGTCAAATGTTGGAGAAATTTTCCGGTCTTGAATTCGAAAAAAACATATCTAAATTTAGAAAAAGAAAAAGAGAATTTAATTGTGTTTTGTTCACCTACTCCATTAAGCGGGCGCGTGAGGTTTGGAAGTTTCATGCTACAGTCGTGCAAAGACGGCTACGAAATGTACAAAAAAGTGTGATGGACGTGCAAAACAACCTCTTGTTTTTTTGCCTTTTTTGTAGCTGTCGCCGTCGTCGTGGCTAAAGCTCCCTACTGTTCTTGATCCAGATATTAGGGAGCTTTAGCAACGACGACGGCGACGGCAACCAGAACGTCAAAAAAGCAAAAGGCTTATTACGCAAAACAACAACTTTGAACGTGCATCACGCTTTTTAGTACATTTCTAAACTTGAGTGCGGTCCTCAAGAAATCAGCTCCAGGGAAATTCGCCTACACTTGCCATTTTCAGCAAATTGGAATAAACGCGACAAAGATTGAAAAAACGAGAATTAATTTTAAAACTGACGTTTTCGCTGCCGCTGCCGTCGTCGATGCTAAAGCTCCCTATTTTACGACCATGGTAACGTCGGTAACGTGACGTCAGCCTTTGCAAAAAGCACATTATCTTATGGTATCATTAAGATCCGATATTCAAACTAACGTTACGGTATGATTTTCTTTGTTTTTTCATTATGAATTATGAATACTTGTGCATTCTTATGCAGTCTATTACAGTTTTAATTAAAAACAGCTGACTCTGAGTGTTTTTAAAAACACCTCCCTTTTTTCTCTTCGGTATCACTGACGCGTATGTTTTGAGAAGTTTCCTCATTGTCCGTGGACAGTTTCTTCTCAAGTATTTTTTCAGCAAGGTTGTAGAAGGCTTCCTCGATGTTGATGTTCTTTTCGGCACTTACTTCAAAGAACTGGGCGCCGTGCTCTTTGGCCAGCTAAAGCAAAGAAGGAAGAAAAAAACAGGTATCAAAACTTTTCTCCACATTTTTATTGCTATTAAATTATGGTTATTTCGGCTTTTAAGAATGACATCCACTTGTCTTCCCAACATCACAATAACATGGGCACCCACAAGTAAGTACAATAAGGATGAATAAATACATGGAAAAAAAACAGAAGGAAAAGGAACAATGAAGGGGAATGTACCTGAGATTCAGAAACTGCAGCAAGAAAGTAAATGTGTCGAAACAACTTGACTGGTGGTCAGATTGCCTTTCAGTTCGGTAAAACGGGCAACAAAAAACGCGCAACTCGTTTTGCAACAATGATGCAAAACGGTAGCCTTAATTTCTCCCGATTGCTTCGAGTCGTTTTCTCCTCTCAGCAACGTAATAACGACTGGAAGTAATGGGATGAAATTCAGGCTAGCAAAACTGGAGTGGAAAAGCGTTTGGGCGTTTTACCACCCACGTCCAAACCTGTTAACAACCTGATTTGTTACAAAATAGGTTTGATGTGGGAGGTATTAAAAACGCGCAAAGTCGCATTGAACTCGTTTTGCTGCAATGTTGCAAGACAAGTGAAATGTTTTTATTTTTTTTTTTTTTCTTTTTTTGCGCTTTTTACCATACATTTAGGGTACCAAATATTATATAGTTGCATCTGATTGGTGGACATAGGGCCTCTTCATATGAGCCAGGTTGACCGGCTGGCCCGGTTTCCGAGATTTCGCCTTACCTATAAATCAATCCTTTGTTAAGTCTTCGATGTGTTCATATTAGAGGGCGGGCTGGCTCGGTTCCCGAGATCTCGGTAAGCGGGCTGGAAATCGTGCCATATGAACACTTCTGCCCGGTTACCAGGATGAAAGCGGGATGAATTCTGGCGGTCTGGATGGTATCGTCTTGAATTGCCTGCTGTATTTTGCCATCATAAGCATCCCATTTAACTGCAGTGATACAGTTTTAAGAGTTGCCGAAGCTATGATAGGCGCGAAAGTTATAATTTTTGTGATTCTCCATGTTTCACCTTTGTTTCTCGAATTTGGCGCCAGAACTCGTCATCAGGATCTTTGGCCTTTTTTCATCTCGGAAACCGGGCTGAAATTTCTCATATGAACCCAAAGGCGAAATTCGTCCAGCGGTAAGAGGGCCAGCCCCAGTGTCGGATCCGGGGAGGGCGGCCACTGAGCCCGGTCAACCGGGCTCACGTGAAGAGGCCCTTAACCTTTTAAGTCCCAATATCAACATACAAATTCTCCAAACTGATCTCCATACATTTCCTTTAAGAATCAGTTGAGAGAATTTAATAACAGATCAAGGTATTTTCTCTTTGGTGGTCATTTGTTAATTCTCATAACTGTATCTCTTGACAATTACTGGATATTGTTAGGAGAAAATTGATGTTGGTCACTATCGGCACTTAAAGGGTTAATGTGAAATGTCTTACACTTCAATTAAACCTACCTGCTCTCCGCGTTCCCGGCTGACAACTCTTTTATTATCCATATGACAATTGTTACCAAGGATCATCTTTTCTTTTATACCTTCACTTGCGTGCTGAAATAGAATGGCAAAAGGGTATAAAGAAATAAAGGGTGAAAGGGTGAAGACATTCTCTGCCCATAAAAAACACTAGTGTTCTAAAAAGGATAAATAAAATTTGCAACGCTTAGTTTTCTTTACGTTCGACATTAGGAGAACGCAACTCCTTATGTGGTACTTGGGTGTCCAGTGGTACTAAGGGGTGACCTTGTGATGTCGAACGTACGGAGTTGTTTGAATTCGGCGAGGGAATAAAACTTGCAGCTGTTTTCGTACTGCAGTGGGTTTTATCGCTGAGCTGGCCATTCTCAGATTCTGTCCGTCCTTTCTCCTGGCTGTGTTATTTCATGCTTTTGGCCTTCGTCTTTATCTTTTTACAAAATAAAGCTTTATAGGATCTACCTCTCGTCTATCAGGATCTACAATTTACCATACTCGAGGGTGAATACAGACATTTCATACATGATTTTACAATACAGTTTGACAGTAAAGCTAGGAAAACTCGAGAAAATGTTATGATTATTACCAGACAGGGACCGCGGAGACCATTTTTAAGTGGTAGGGCTAAAAAATCTTGCCAATACAAAGAAACATTAAGTTCAGTGTTTCGCCATTTATCTTGCATTTGCGTAGACTACTAGCAGTCTTTCTTTTCTCTTGGTCCGTCGAGCAAAACGCCCAAGACACGCTCACAGGCGCGTGCACTCCCCCTTGAAATCTGAAGAAAAAGAGAGACTGCTCGCAGTCTAGCATTTGCGCGCCATCTTATTTACAGCCTCAACAAATATAACATAAACGTCGTCACGTGTTATAGCATCCAGTATAGCCAATATGTTGAATAAACCTTCCTAAAATTGCTACTTTAAAGTTGTCAGCAGTGCCGAAATTTCTCTTGCAGTCCTCGTTGCTGGAAACAAACTCCTGTGCGACATCAGCTATAGAGACACTGTCTGTTCTCAGCTTGTAACCATTCAACGTTACTACTAGGTTGCTAAACCTCTCATCACCTATCCTGGATTGACGCCACATCTTCAGACGCCGTACGTACGGATGAAAATGAACCCTCGCCAGCAGCGCTGGTAATAGGATTTACAGCAAGCAGCTTACAGATAGTTTAACTGACTTCCTGAATTAGCTTCTTTTCTGGCTCTGGAAACTTTAACACCGCCAACAGGATTTCGTCAAAACATGATATCTTCTCTTTCTTCCATAGTACTTAGTTGCCTAGGTAGCGCCCCTGTATCGCAAAATCTTCAATTCCCTGTATTATGCTTCGGCTTCAAGAAACTGAACTCTGCCTCATAGTAGTCACCATTAGCTATAGCAGCTTTAAGCAAGAGGGTCTCCATCTGGGCTTAAGAGCTGAAGCTTTCCTGATTAATGCGCTGATAGATAGCGTTGACGATAAGATCAATAGCCTCATAATAGGCCCGTACAAAGTGATCTTTAGCAGTTTGGGGGTAGCTTGGTGCACCAGCACCAACCGTCTGTCTGGCCGGAGTGTGTCGTTTTCTTGGAAGCGTTGGTTCTCCAAGCAGGCCTTCACTCTTGCGGGCAACATTAGCATAGAAATGGTCGAAGCTTTGATCAATGCGAATTTTCGTGAGCGTCTCCTTTGTTAGATCTGCCAGGCGTTGTCCACTGACAGCAGCCATCTTAGTACCCTGAAGATCCTTAGATAGATTATCGGTGTGGCAATAAAGGTACTCTCCAAGATGCAAAGCAGAGAAAAAAGTCAAATCACTCCATTTGGGCCTTACATCTTATTATCCTTGCAGGCACATCGGGTTGTAATCGTTCTGACAAGCAAACATCCCACTCTTCCATAGGGCAAAGTCCAATAATTGCACGGAAATTTTTTCCATGTCAACTGGAGTTCTATGAAATAAATCCCAGCAATAGAAGTGGTAGGGCTATAACCCTACCAGCCCCTCCCCCTCCGCGGTCCCTGCCAGAGAGACATTCTACGGATTACAATCTGAGATTTTATAATGTCCCAGCGTCCACAGGCGAGAATTGTATTGTGGAGCTCCGTGATACGCTGTATGATAGAAAGATCTTCAAATGCAACCAAACTTCGAGAAGGCCCACAAGACCAGAGCAACTGAAGACGATGGCTCTCCCAGACCAGTTTTGGCCAAGTTTTTTATACCTTCCGGAGTGGAGATAGCCTCCCCGCAGACGTCCTTTGGGGTTCGTTCGTTACGCATTCATTTCTCCCCCACGGACGGTCCTTGGGGGAGAAATGAATGCGTGACGAACGAACCCTAAAGAAGTCTGCGGGGAGGATAGAGTTGAGATTAATCAAGAAGACTGGAGACCTATGTGACCGTGTGCGTGTTTCGGAGGCGATCCAATATATATAGGAAGACCGTCAAAAAAAGAAACAATTGAGATCTGATGTAAAAGAAGCAGCGTATTTGAAAACGGAAAAAGACCTAGATTTCATCGTGGCAAGCTATCATACATTGACGGTGAGCTATATCAAGCTTGAGATGTTTGAGCAGTAAATCTACAGTAACATTTTTAATCTGACTCATTTACTTCTAATGTTTGATATGCTATAGCTTTATGCAAATGGTTCGTGAGTCTTCTGATCCCGATTTTAAAATTACCATTACTAAGAGCGATCATCTCCGACATGGGATTTTTAGACGATTGACGAAATTAACGGGTTGTATGGTGTTGTCAAACCTCAATTTTCAGCAATTCACTTAAGTACAAGAAGCCTCAGCATTACGGAAAAATTTGCAATCTTGCTGACGTTCTTACTAGATTATGTGATGATGATGATGATCTATCAGGTTCTGCGAGCGATCTTGAAAGTTTACTATATGAAATTAGTAATCATGCCAGCTGGCTACGACGGAATCGTCGGCATGCAGTAATGAGGTGACTTTAAATTTACTCTCCTAAGGCTTAGGTCAAACGTCGAACTTTTCATGAGACGAACCAAACCTAGTCGGTTAAGGCCTGGTTCAGACGCCGTACTTTTCATGTGCCGAACTTAACTAAATAAGTTCGACTTTGGAGCGACACTGGCGCGACATCTGATTCAGACGGCGTACCGTGTGTCGAACCTAACTTAAGTTCGACAAAAGTTCGACAGACTCTGTCGAACTTAACGCTTTTGCCGCACCAAACTAAAACTGCCGTACCAAATTGATTCAGACGCCACTCTTTTGCCGTACTTAATTCATCAGTTATGTTCGGCACATGAGTGGAGCGGCGTCTGAACTGGGCCTAAGTTCATGAAACGTTCGACGTCTGGTTCAGTTAAGTTCGTCTGAATGAGTCCAACAGGCAACACATTCTATCTGTCTTCTCCAGACGGATAGAACGTCTGAAGATCGTCTCTGGGACAAACGGTCGATCTTCACATGCGACTAACAGGGGCACCCAACGACAATTTTCGGAAAGTATCTGTTCGGAAGACGATTTGAGATCTAGAATTTTCGGAGCATTTGTTGTAAAATGTCCTTGCTTGCCTGCCTCTCCTAGGATTTCGAACATCTAAAAAAATGGTATAATTGCCCATTTTTAACGCATTTTTACCCTTAAAAGGTCACCTAGAATTTTCGGGAGCCTCTTTTCTGGCTGAAAGTTTCGAAAAGGTAAGTTCTGATGCCCATAATTTTCGGATCACTAGAATTTCAGCTAGGAAATTCGAACAGATGAAAAATTTTTAGGGGATAAAAATATGCCCATATCTACCGTTTAAATACTAAAATACGTTTAACAAGGCTTTGTTTAAGTGGTTTTGAACGGTAACCCTGGACTAACTAAAAAAATAATATTTTTAAAAAAAATTGTATGACAAGATATATTAAGCCTTGTTCGGGAACAAATTTATTGAAATTACTTTTTGGTCTGATTCAGTTGATTGGTTCAAAGCGTCTTAAGTTCGACGTCTGACCCAACAGACGACTTAACTTAGGTTAGGTCGACCTAAATTATATTATAAATCGTCTCATGAAAAGTTCGACGTTTGGCCTAAGAATGAAACCCTATTTGGATTGCCAAGGTTACGAGAGCCTTAACTGTACCTCTTCAATGTTCCATAGCCACTTTAAAACGTTGTCAAAGGTCTCCTCTTGGGTTATATCATATACAACCACAAAACCCTGTAAAAATCAGAAATATATTTTAAAACATTGGTTGAATTAAGACTGCTGCTGAATTGAAACGGTATCAAATTGATACGTGTTAGATAAGTCAAGATAAGATGTTATCTTTATTCTAACTTCTAAGCTTTACTTTAAAATGATTCTTGGTAAGGTGTTTACGAATTATCCTTCCAATATGTACTCCTTAAACGTTCCTTTTGAATGCTACTTTTTGTTTTTATAATTTGACAGGTAAGACTCGCTTCTCTTGGAAGAAAAGAAGCTGAATATCTCAAAAAGTTAGCGCTTTAACTTACCACCGCTCCTCTAAAATCTGACGTTGTTATTGTGCGAAAGCGTTCTTGGCCGGCTGTATCCCTACAAGAGCAACAACACTTTGTCTTTAATAAAAAAGGGATCCTATTTGCGTCGAAAAATAAGACGCAAACTTATAACATGTGCCGTAATGGACGACACATTTTGTCCAAAATAAGACACGTCTTGAGATTTGCTCTCCTTGTTACTAGCCTGAGATCATGCCCTCTCACTATTATCCTTCTAAAAAAAAAAAAAACGTCTGATCACAGGTTACTAAACAATTTTAAAAACGAGATTTACCAAGTCATCGAGTGGCAATGCTATTACTTATGGGGCCTAAGCAAAGTAGAACTGATACTTATCAACGCTCATTTTTCATACGCGCGTGCCGCTCTTGAAATGTTCTGCACCCTGAGTTACGCACAAATCACATTTCTCTGGCTTCTATTAAACGTTTACTACTCCAATAGTACAATAAGGCTCTAGATCCATACGACGCTGATGACATCAGATCGTGGAGAACAATCTGTCCCAGGTGCAATATAGCGAGGACTCCCTTGCACCTTCTGTCGTGCTGCTTTTAGCAATTACAACTTCCGCCTTTGTATTTTTTTGTCTATTAGTAGCTTTAGTCATCAGTTATACATTTTATATTATCTTTTTATCTTTTTTTTTTTTTTAACGTGGAATCCTCTGTAATTGACTGGGCTATAGCGGTCTCCCTGCCTAATAATATTATGTACATAAACATTGTTTTTCTAGTTGGACGAAGCTAAATAGCTACTACTACTAGGCTATATGTTATAGCCCACTTATAGCGAAAAGCGCCGGATTTTTGGCGGCAAAAAAGGATTAAAGTCATTCTTTAAGTTGTTTTGTCTCGATATTTTTGACCAACTACTTGGATTTTACTAAAACAATTATTCCTCTCGCCCTCATAGCCTCTGAGTCAATAGCCCATGAGGCCGAGTGACTCAGAGCCCATTTGGGCTTTTGGAATAATTGTTAATTAGCTCTCCAATTTCGCCATCCAAAGTACATATGAGCTAATCGATGTCAGTAATGAAAGCTGTGGTTAGTATTTTTACAACGGGTGATAAAAGGCCAATCGAAAGGCCCGCCCCTCCACAAGGCGTGACACTAGGAGTATCGGATACTTTCAACATTCAAGAAAAAAGTTATGGGTTTCTTGGCCTAAACGAGCAAGCCAGGAACTTCGGTCCAACAACTGTTAAGCCTCGCCAAAATCAGCGGCAAAACAGAAAATTATTCTTTATCGACCCAGCGACAGCTAGATCGGGAACTACCCCTGTTGCTTGATGGTGAAAGCCAGCTGAACAGTAAGTACCCTTAAACTTTTATTGAATTCTTTACTAAGATACCGGGTGGCATGAAGTTTTTGTGAGAGTTTTATCTTGCGGATCGCAAAATAAAACTCCCGTAGAAACGTGCTTGCGAGAACTAATTTTTTCCATAGTGAAAATATGATTTTCTTGTTGGGGACTTACATTTGCGATTTTCAGGAGGTCGTGTGCTATGAAACAAAACGCAGAGATGTCACTGTTTATAAAACACGTTGCCGATGAACGACAATTCCCTGTTTTTCTCTGACGCTACGGTAGACATTGCCTACACTATCTAAAAGTCCGTTTTCACCTGGTTGCTCGCTTTTTAGTACTTGTGAGAGGTTGACTTGTAGCAAGTCCAGACATTGCCATACCTAGCCCCTGTACGGCGTCTTCCAAGGCACTTCTCGGTCAAGGCATTTCGGTGGTGTATTTACTAGCTCAGACCACGTGACCCGAAACGCATTGGCCGCGCAGAATAATGAGGCCTAGGGACAAGGCAGCGGGTTCTTCGCTATTGTAAATAGTAACTGGACCCTAGAATTTTGTTATTTTTAGTTTTTAGTGTCACTCTGTCGTTAATTCCAAGCTTTAATAGTATGCTCCAACTAATAATACAGCAGGTGTTAAAATAATAACTTATTTCTTCCCGAGATTCCCAGTTAGCAGAGGCCTCTCTTCCTGGTATTCGGCGGGCTTTCCCCCCTCCCCTCCCTCCAACCGCCGCCCGCCGACGAATATCAGGGAAAAGAGGCCTCTTGCTAGCATACAGGGAAATATCGAGGTGGTTTTGCATTAAAAGTATAAAGGATAAATGCTTATTACTATTCAACTGTTTATAACATAAGAAATTACTTTTTAACCTTTGTTAACTGTAACGGAAAAATATGTACCGTTAGAGGAAGCGGTAAAAGAGCCACAACTTAGGCCAGCAACCAAAAAAGCCAGTGCTAAAAGGTCACTTGAAACTAGCATACCACAACTGCAACTTTATCTTCTTTCCTTGAATCTCAATTGTTCTTATCTTAAAGTCTATACCTAAAGAGAAAAAAAAACAAGAAATGACGTATACTGTACGCGAAAACTGGAGCTATGAAAATGTCTGAGAACCGTTTGAATTCTCGCACTCCGAAGCACGGGAGTCCAATACCTCAAGTAGTTTAAGACCTGGGACTAAGGGGTTTACCTGTGGAAAATGATTTATTGGCTATAACTTCGGCATTGATGATGGTGCTGAATCAAAATTTGGCACACATAAAGAACTCATCATCCTTAACATTTCAAAGTATAAATATTGTGGTAATCAGTCACGTGATATGTCACGTGACCATTTCGCTAAAAATTGTAAATTATTGACCGATTGGTGGCCGGTTTAAAAAAAGAAATCGAGCTATTACGTTTTTCTTATGCATATTAAATATTTCTAACACTTCACGTGTGGAATGACCCTCCATTGCACTTCAAGGAAAAATAATGAGGAAAAACATCATTTTAAATGCCCAAATTTAATCTTGAATTTTTCAAGACTTTAATTTTAAACCTCAGCTGAATTCATTCCAAACGTAGAAAGTTAGGTATGCTTACCCTCTTTCAGAAATACTAATTTGTTTGTTCAAACAAAGTAAATTCGCCACCAATTCGCCAATTTTTTTCATTTTCCATTTTTGGTCACGTGACAATAATTATTCGTTAAGGCACGAGAAAACCGCAAGATTTACTTTTGGAGAAAAATTCATTTTGTTCTAGGTCTCCTAGCGAAAGATATTGCTAACCATTCATAGGCTCCGAATACACGGTTTCCTCCAAAATACGATGAAAGCACTTTTAAGGCTATCTAGAGTACTTTTAGATATCTAGAAATGCATTTAAGGCGGCGCTACAAAATTTTTATCTGTTCGGTCATCCTAGGGGAACTTAGGGCGCTTTCCATTTGTCAGAACTGACCGGCCAGACCATTCCCGTCGCAATGAAAATTTCCCTTTTAATCAAAACTCTCCAGCCAGATCAGTCAAATCCTGAATAGTATGCACGAAGGAGAACGTTTTTCAGTAAAAACTCTTTGAAAAGGCCTATTTCATTTTCAACTGACTGGTCGGGCAATGGTCCGGAAATTTTAGGAGTAATCTAACGTTTTACGAAAGTGAGAATTTTTCTGATTGCTCTCTCTATCGCAATCGCCCTGTCTATCATTAGAACTTTCTGCCACCCTAATTGACCCATAAAACCTTATTTTTAATATATAGAGGATATTATATGGCCGCGCGGAGATACGAAATTTCTCTTCGAGTGTTGAAAAATATTTCACGAGTGAGCGCAGCGAACGAGTGAAATATTTTCAACACGAGACTTTCTTTCTTACGCGACTTTCTTGTTGCGTTCGGGTCGTTCGATCTTAAAGTACCTATCAAAGGTTTTGCGACGTTGTTGTTAACTTGCAGTTTGTTGCTAAAGTTAGAGCGGAAGTTTTTCGAGATATCTTGAGATAAGCTCAAGTTGTTTAGTTTATGAGAAAGAAAGAAATCCTATTTTTGACTCGCGCGGGGTTTGTCTCTTTGACCTGTAAGATAAGGGAGACGAAACTGTAGCCAAAAAAGTCATAAGATCGATTATTTGTGGGTGTACTCTTTTTAACTTTTAGGAACGGCAAGTTAATGTTTCGCGAGGGATATATTTCCATTGGCTTTTAGGAAAGTGAGTGAAACGGGAAATAGAGTTTTGGCATTTTTATACCAACTGTTTTTTTTTTATAGGAGTATATATATTCAGGGTGCAAAGAAAATCATTTTTACTGCTTGCCATTCGGGCAAGCTGAAGCTAGCGTTTACTAGCCCAGACGTCATTTCAACTAGCCCCAAAAGCTTTTTGACTAGCAGAATGGATTTCACAGTTCTTCTGTTATTCAAATTCCTCAAAAAACCTCACTTGCCCGTCGGGCAAGTTAAAAACAGAATTCACTAGCCCGATAGCAAAATCCACTAGCCCCGGGCTATCGGACAGTACTTTCTTTGCACGCTGATATTTAGCAATACAAATTTGGAAATGTCAGTTCTTATTGAAAGGGAAGAGAGTTCATATCGTGTTTACATGCGTTACTCTGACATCAAAAAATGCTGTAACTCCACGAGACCAAAAGCCCCCTGCCTTAAAGTCCAGTCTTGACTGGACTTGTTACCGCGCTTCTGAGGTTGAATCACTCATTATCGAGAGGTTGTAGTTGTGGTTCGACCTCAACGTTGATGCAAACCTCACCAATAAGTGAGGTAAGTATTTTGCGAACACCATCGCGTCTCTGCGCTACGAACCCTCCCTTTTTGCATGACAGAGCATGGCAGACGGTATACTTCTCACCACAAACACGCTTGCTTGGTAAGTCGGACAGGGGCATTTTATACCTTAAACGCAGCGAGTCTCTGAGTTCTTGTTTATTCAGCACAAAGCCTTGATCGACGAGAGGCACTCCGGTAAGCCATGAGCTCGCACCCTTGTCTCTCGATTGGTTAACTGACCGCAGCAGATCCGAGGGTAGAGTGGAATCAATAATTTCCATTCTCAATTTCACCGACGCAGTTTTCAAGGCTTGATGTTGTCTTCTCAACTCCTCCGTGGAATTCTCGCCTCCCACCATGACCATGCTCTGTGTGGTAATAGAATCTACGTGCGGTGCTGTTATTGACGTAGAAGCAGCAAACTGCTGTGGAGCTTCAAACCGTAAGTCGGGTTCGCCTAGCCCTCCTTGAGCGGGTGTCAAGGTAAGGAGCTGACGCAGATCACTGGGGAGGGGCTCCGTTTGACCGAATATTGTTGGGAGAAGTAAGTCATCGATCGCCTCTTGGATAGGTTCAACGTAATCTTCAAACGACTCTATTGTACGCATGAAATAGGTACTCTTGGATTTGTAAACCTTCATGAAAACAGTGTAGGCTGCATGAGGCTGGCTCCTTGCTATCTCAGATAGATTAAGATTAACATAGATTATAGATTAACAGATTTGGATATACATATAGCCCGTCCCAGACCTTCTCTTTTCTCAGTTAGGGACCGTCGAGCGCGCGTAAGAACAGTATAAATCCGCATAAAAACTTTACTTTTTGAGGCTACGGTATTCCGAGAACCAGTTCGGTATGTCTTATTATCTATCATTATCGTTTTGTGGTCGCTACTATCGGAGGGTCGTTATTTTCGGGAGATTTGCCAACACCTGTGAAGTTTTATCGGTACTGTCGGGGGGACTCGTTACTTTCGGAGGGGGCAATGTCACGCAACAAGCATTTGAAGTTATTTAAAAGTATATCCCAAGCTTTGACACATTTTTGTAAGTTTGTTTATACTTATACTTATACTTATTGACTATCCTAGACTAGAGAGCAAATGTACTCTATATTTGGTAGCTGATGTTTGACCTGTTGAGGCAGGAGCCGCTCCTGCCCCAGGCTATGACATAATAGTCATTTAAAATGTATAGGATTTTGGAGGCAATAACTTTGCATATTTTGCGTTTGATAAAAGTGGGACGGCAAATATCAATGTACTGTATATTAAGAGCCCTTGGAAGATTTATAACACGTTTCAGTACGGATGGTGATAGCGATGACAAGCAAGTTGATATTAAAATTGGTAGTAGTGAGAATGTTGAAATTTTTTTAGCTCAATACCTATAAACATAGCTACAAATCTGAAAAATAACGGGTGCGTGACCCATTGCCAGTTTTCAGTCTCGACAAATAATAACAGAAAGCTTTATTCATTTATTTATTTATTTAAGATAAGCGTCTAGCATTGCATACAATTGCAACTTTGTGATCACATTAATTGTAAGATCTAAAATATCAGTTAACCGAACAATGACAGAACTTGGCCCTAAAATTGTTTCTCTCATATTGTCTGAATTCAGGTCTGAATTAATTCTGACATTTGCGGAAAACTAGGACTCACATATTCTTATGTTTTAAAACATCACTTGTCTTACCTACCCATGGTCGAAGTAAAAGTCGAATCAAACGCTTTGTCGGAGAAGCGAAATAAAATCTCGGTCTTTCCAACGCCTGAATCCCCTATAAGGAGTACCTTGAAGCGGTAGTCATAACTCTTCTTCGCCGCCATTGCTTCCATCTACAGTAAATTTGTCCCCGGTCTTACTCGATAAACGAGCCGAGTTTAGAGTAAGTGGCATCTTACGACAGTCTCGTGATGTACGAGGCCTTTTTAAGGTAATCGAGGGTCGCATAGGGGTATTTCCGTGATGCGTTTTTCTAGCCTGCGTGGCAGGCGCAAAAAGGGGATGGGGGAGGGGGGAGGGAGAAAGGGAAAAGAGAAGGGAGCCTCCCCCTCTCCCCAATCCCCCTCCCCTTTTTCCCTTCCTCCCTATCCCCTATCCCCTACCCCTTTCGACGCCTGCTACGCAGGCTACGTTTTTTAGTGAATCCTAATAAATCATATCAAAAATAAATAATGAATTAATTATTAACAATAATTATAATAAATTCTTCCTGAAAAACATGTACTCGAATTACTAATCGATAATCGTGATTTCACTACTTATTTTTCTCGTGATTTTCAATTTCGAGACCTCTGGAAGATGAAAAAAGACTATGAAAACATCAAATGAGACAATTGTCGTAAAAATAACTAGACGTAAACAGCTCGGTCTTTATTGTAAATACATTAAAACACATTGTTTATGCATAGACCATGGGTAAAAGGAAACATGGGTTTCGACTAAATATAATGGTAGTAGGACTGTGTGGAGTCCAATTCGGTCTGCAATCATATGAGTGATGAGGAGGGTCCCATTTGTTTAATCACCAGTATGATTACAGGCCGGACTGGACTCCACTCAGTCCTGTTACCAATTAATCATAACTATCATAATAACAAAATTCTCAAATCTCATTGGCTATCAACTGTCCTGATTTTGGCACTAATAGGACAGTGTAATAGGACAGAACGCGTCATTACTGAGGGCCTGTTTACAATTGCAGGTGTGGGACAACAGATAGGTGAGGTAACAAGTGGCGGGTCATCCCACCTATCATGTAAACATGATCAAATTAAAATGAGAGATTGACTGTGGACAGGCGGGTTACCCCACCTAACCGGGTTACCTCACCTACCTGGGGTCCCCCACCTCCATGTAAACAGGCCCTAGGTAATTGGACAGTACGCGCCATTGCTCGCGCGCGCACTTAAATAGCTATTTTCACTGCTGGGAAAGAACTCTCGGAGTTTCTTGTGTTTGAATTTTAAAAAGCCTAAAACATCACAAATTTCACAGGGAATAAAAATTAAGGTACTGTTGAATCAGTTTTCGAATTTTGGGTTTCAATAAAAATTGAAGTAGCCTGAGCAGATTTGAACAGAGTAACCGACTGTATAAACAGTCCACGTTTTCAAGGGGTGTCTGGGGGCATGCTCCCTCAGAAAAGTTTGAAATTGCAAATCCCTATTAAGCGATTTCCACCGTTTAGGGGACTAGACTGAGTACAAAAGAGCGAGTTATTTGGGTTTTAGTCAAATTTTGATTTATTAGCCACACAATTAACTCCTGCAAGCAATGAACAAATGATAATTATACTAAGTTACATAGATTTCCGCGTGAACAAATTCTGTTTTTGTCCATGACATTATTTAAGCTACAATCCTGGACAAAACTACTCGAGAAAATGTTTTCATGAATGCGCACTACCTAACGCAATAAAACTATTTCCAAATCAACGGCTTTGCGTAAAGAAAACCCCTTCCCCCAGTTCAAAGTTGCTTCCTACAAATGCTTAGGGATCCGGCTTTCTTTTGAAGACCCAGCAACACTTGCTTTTAGGGGGAGGGGGGTAGGGAAGAATCGGTCTGCTAGGAAGTTTAGAAATAATGCCCCCCAAGTATGCAATTTTCTCAAGAGTTGTGTCTAAGATTGTAGTTGCTTCCTCTTAGGAGGAAAAAGTAGCCGACTCCTCTGAGCCATGTAGCCGACGCGTTTCGTCGGTCGACGGTGCTTATTGAAACCCCTGATAATTTTTAACTGACAACTGACAAAAAGCCTGACATTTGTACTCCCCTCCCCTCCCCCCTCCCCCATCAATTCAGGCCCTCTAGTTTTATAAAGCCCGAAGACTGACCAGGATCTAATTTCAGGAGAATGATAGAAGTAATCGTGAAAACTGTCTGCATTCTTGAACAAACTCTCCTCCTTAAATACATACGTATTAATATTAATTTGACACAGTATGGCCTGATTCTTACTAATGGTGATAACCAATATCTGAGTTGCTTGCTGTTCTTTAGACAAAAATAGCTTACTTGCACTTCAGGACACTCAGCAGCATTTTTGTAACCACTAATTTAAAATGCCAACTCGGCAACGAGCTAAAATGAAATTATCCATATAAAGCTCTTTCAAATGTTGGAGTGTCTCTCACATTTCAAACAATAAGCTAAATACAATATAGTTTGAGAGGATTGAAACCCTACATGGAACTGACGCAATATCAAACACGACACGCTTATTTCATCCGATGTAAGTCAAGACACCCACAAGTGGGTACATGGCGCAGTCGAGTTTCGCGGTGTCTGGATAATCGGGTGAAACAATGAGTGGAGTATTTGGTATAGCTTCTTAAATGGACAATAATTTTTGAAGAAATTTAGCCCGTTCCAGGCTTTCAGATAGTGGGGAGCGGTGCGAAGCCCCATCTACTTTTCATCGCTTTCTTTACTTCGCACCGCTCTCCACTATCCGAACGCTTGGAACAGGCTAGAAGAAATTCAAAGGTACAGTTCGCAAAATCGTATGGAATTATTAAGATCCGAAATCCAAATTTTCGTCATGGTATTTACTATATTATTCTTTGTTTTCTCTTTATGAATTATGAATACTCATGTACTCTCAAGCAGTCCAGTCAACTGAAGGCCCCGTCCACCAGGATAATTTTGAATCCGCAACTTTTTATTAGCAGATTCGGCTTCCGTCGACACGTGATCCGGCATACAAATCCGCACATTTTTGAATGTGCTCTCCAGAGTGGAAATTTTTGAATACGTTATGAATCCGGCCGGAATCGTGTGAAAGCTAAATCCCGGGGGGGGGGGGTACTGCCATATATGGGCTATATAGGTATGTGCCGCTGTGAAGGGTATGGTTCTCAAGTAGTTTACTCTAGGATAGGGTATATAAATCAGAGCGTTTGGGTTTAGAAGAGGTTATCATTTTTCAGGAAACTGATCAGTTGGTTGAAGATTGTATCTAGACTAGGGATTGTGGTATAAGGTTTTGTTTTGGCTAGACTGTGCTAGTGACCTCAGTAGTTTCTGGAAAACAGCTAATCTAGGAAAGGGGGGATTTGGGGAGTTTACTCTAGTATAGGGTAGCAAAATTCAGCTGATGTAGCTCTGGCATAGGTTAAGGGTTCCATGGTCCCAGCGGCACATCCCCACCCAGAAATTCCTAACGTATCCCCGGGGGCTAAATCCGGATCCATCCAGCCCTGTTCTTTACCGTGAATGCATATATTCCAAGATGGTACCGAGCGCAATGTTAACACTTCTTTACTTCTTGGACTTCAGTTTCAAGTCTTATAACGAGTGTGTAGTTACACCTAGATATGATTACTGTACACTTCAAACGGCGACTCGACATACTGAACCTTCTCTCCATTACGGACGGACGAATTGGACGCCATAAACGAGTTAAACAAGTGAACTGGTACATGTAGAACAATTTTGTCAACGAAGCAGTTATTGATGAAGAATGGCCAGAAAATTTTCGCATGAGCCGTAGATCGTTTTAAAAATTTGCTGAAGAACTGAGAGTGAATCCGGATACATGTGGACGGGCAAATTCGATTTGAATACGCTCAGTGAGAGGGAGGAACGATTTTTGAATCC